TGAAATATGTTCTATGAGCAATACGAGGAGCAATAAATATGTATTATGTATATTTTTATCGATAAATATTAAAATTATTAGAAATCTATAACGTATTTTGCCTTTTGCCTTTTTATAAATTCATAATTCAGTAAGAAAACGTTTACCCTTTTTTTTTGCTTGTCACAACGGTCCCTTAATATATATGAGTAAATTGAGTACTAAAGTGTCAAATATTTTAACTTAATAAGAATGATCTATTAGTATGACTGCTTATTTTTCATATAGAAGTGAAATATGGTGTATTTTCAGACTAGAGATAAATGATTTTTGCATCCAAATCAGCTTAAAAGTAAGAATATTTTTATTACTTACCACTTCGGCTGTCCACACCTTTGATATTGCATTTTGCTTTTATAATTAAGTTTTTATTTTATTATTCATGACCATTTTATTGACCAAATTTGAAGAAAAAGACACATAATAAGACAATTGGTCCTAACTTGGCTTAGAAAAATATTATTTTTCAATATTTTGTCCCTTTCACTTTAATTCCTTTAAAAGCATGAGGAGTAACTACCACCACGATTATTAAACATCAATTCACTAATATATAAGACATGTTAACTCGATTCAATCTTGGGGAAACTTTTGATAGATGATGGTTGACATAGTCAAAAGATTCTTTCCACACGGACAGAATTACTATGACAGAGATTTTAATTAATAGATAATTTCTAATTTAATTCATAACTCTTTTTGCATAAAACATTTTTAAAGTAAAAATAAGTTTAAGAAACTAGTTAAATTAAAGCTTTTGAGTATTATTCATTAATTTATTAATTAATTTATTTTTTAAAACGATACATTCATTACAAGAATTGCCCAGAAATGAAATTTTATGCAGAATCGTTGAACCACCATACACAGTCATAGACAGGCATTTTTAAATAGATTTTATTTTGGAATAATTAATGTAACTTGTTCTGCAAAAATATAAATTTCCAGTGTGTCCTTAGTAGTTTATGTTTAAACAGTACAAAAAAAAAAAAAGAGAAAGAAAGAAACATTAAACTGCGGTTTGATTTAATTTCTACCTTTAGGACATTCTTGTTCACTTCTGTCCTTTAATCTTGGAAAAAAATATTCATTATCACATTACACATAATTTATAAATTTAAAATTGCACGCATTGTTTACAAGTTCTAATACTTAATATGCTCTTAATATGTAAATTACGCATAAATTAAGTTAGTAAAATAATTTTTTTTGAAAAAAGTGGAAAACTTTAGACTAAATATACAATTTATTTGATCTTGTGTTTTAAACAGTCAACTGAAAAGAATATTTTTATTCCTACATTTTGAAAGATCGATTGTTGAATGCTTTTACATTGTCTAAATTTATTTTGAAAGAATTTATCCAACAAATAATAAAAATATGTTAGGCAATGACACTTTATCTTTCCCCAATTAACAGAATAATTAAATGAGTAATGAATAAATATATGAAAAGTTCATGCCGTCATGATGAGAGTATGAGAGTCAATTGTACTTCATAAATCATCTTCTATCTTTTTAAGAAGACGCTATACTACGGGAGAAACTTTTCAGCACAAATTCTGTTTGATCTCCATAACTAATTTAAAATTTAAAGTACAGAAAAAGTGAGTTCAAGCAAACCTAGAGTAAGCCATGAAGTTTCAATTTCTAATTAAAAAAAATCAAAGTATGAAAATTCAAGCAAACTATTGAAAAAGAGGTTAACTTATTGCGTTATTCTCTCATAATTTATTTTTATTTCGATATTTTTTTAAAAAAATTTCTTCAATATTTGAAATTTCAAGGATTATTCTAATTTTGCTTAAACTTTTTATATATTTTAAATTTGAAATCACTTATGAAAGTGAAAGAAAATTTGTTATGAAACGTTTCTTACTCAGTTTACCGTCCTCTTAAATGACACCCTTTTTGAAGAATCTCTGATATATTTTTATTTTCATAACATTCAAGATGAATTTATTCTATTTAAAGCCATTTTTATCTTCCTTCAATTCAAAATTAATCCTTCGCTAATTTAAAATAATTATCTAAATTTTTAGAATTTTAATTTTTAGTTTAATTAAAACAAAAGAGTCTTTTGAATATTTTCCTTAAAAAATTTTTATTTTAAACAAATTTTAATTTAAATATGTATTCAACTTTATGACGCTTACACGCTTACTTATAAAAGTTTCACAGAAAAAAATTCTATTCAATATTTCATAATATATCATAATATTTCAATATATCATGAATTGTATTCAATATTTCTATTCAATTTTCTATAATATTTCAACTGAGGTACTCTCCAGCAAAGTAAATTTTTATTAATTGGAAAATATTTGTCGACGTAATTGACTATTTCGACGTATCATTCCCATTAATTTCATATTTATTATATACATGCTATACCTTAATCAAAATTTGTGTCTTTTAATAAAGGTATTTTAAGATATATACTTATTTTTGAGAGCCATTATAAATATATACGAAATTATTTCAGTTAATTTAGTCAATTGGTTTTTACAAGTTTTACTGTTGTTCTTACTTTCCTTTTAAGTTAAAAATAAAATATAGTTATAAGTTATCGTAAAAAATTATAAACAGCATAAATATACTCTATGGATATTAGGATTAACATTGTGTTTTTGATTTTTCGATAATCTTTTCTCTTTTTTTTTAACTATGATAAAGTGGGTGCATACTTTTAGTTATTATTAGAAAATTAAAAAATAATAATAATCTTAACAAGCTATTATTTTAGATAGCAATAAAACAAAAAAATGAAATGCATACCTTTTAAAGAACTATTCATTTTTTCTTCTTTCATTATTTAAAAAAGATGATTTTTTGTGCTTCCAGTAAAGTCTTGGTTTATTATTTATTTCAAAATATTCGCAGCAGTTCTTTTCATTTGCAGAAAATTATTTACAGATGAAAGGTATAAAAATATGATAAAACAGCCCAGTTATTTAATCACATACAAGTTTTGCTAACTTTTAAAGTTGAGTTCATTTTGAAAACTGCAAACGATAATGTAAGTTCGAAAAACAATTGTTTCCAACATTATTTTTAGTCAAACGATTTTATATGAACTTTTAAGCTTTCAAAGTTATTCGAAACTTGGTGGGTTAATCTTTGAAATTTGTTCCAAGTTTAATTCACCTTTTGAGAAGTAAACAATCCGGTTCATACTGTTCGTGCGCATTATTCTTCATTTAATGTGTTTGACTAATTTAAATGTGTTTGACTAACTACGCACCGCATTAAACATTATAATAGATCGAAATTTATTAACTCGGAAATAGACCTAAACCGACAATACTGTTTCTATGTTCTGAAGTTTTCCTATATTTACCCTCATAATGGAATGGAAAAGTTTTCTTTTAAACTTTAATATTTAATTTGAATTCGTAATTTAAATTATCATTTTCATGTTTCTTTCTAATAGTTTTGAATATTAAATGGAATGTGTTTTTTTTTTTTAAGACTTAAACGGACTATTCTCATTTCCCTTCATGCTTTCAATTTTTCTTAGTTTCCCACCTCACAATGAAATGGCAATGAACTTTGACTTTAAGCTTTGAACTTTATTTAATGTGAATTTACAGCTTAAAAATTCATTTTCATATTTCTCTTGTATAGTTTTGAATATTCTATAGAACTTGTTTTTCGTTTTGAAATTATGGTGTTAAATAAAAAAAATTCTCTTATTAGAAGTTTTCCTGAAACGTATTTTTACTATTTGAAGAAAGCTTTTTGAAAGTGTTCTATAACTTTTTCATCAACGCTTGATAAATTATATTTAATTATTATAAGAAATGATTGGCTCATTTACATGCAACCTATGCAATATGGTGCTGTGCGCTTTATTATAAATACATACGTTAGATTATATACATCCTTGCGACCAAACAACTAAAAAAATAACAATAATATTTAGATAAGATATGTAGAATAATAATAATGAAAAAAGGTCCAAGAACAAAAGAATTCCCATTAAGAGCACCATAAGTGTTTCCAAATGAATTTTAATCTCTTTCAAATGTTTAAAGCGATTGAATTATGTTTTTTTTTCTCTCTCTCTCTTTAGATTGAAAAACTCCAGAAAGATAAATCGAGCTTATCTTATTTGAAATTTTTGAACAAACAAGATGTATCAAAAGGGAAATTATTTTCTCCCCGTATTTCATTCTCTTAAGATAAAAAAAAAAAGGGTAACAGGTATGCTAGATAAAATCTCTGAAAGAATTCATTGGCCATTTGGCTACTGATTCAATGATGTCACAGTCAGATATAGGCGGGCATTTCATTTAATAAAATTAACAGCCAATGTTAATAAACAATGGTTGGATCATTTACGCCCTCCTTAAAAGTTTCAGTTTAAAATGTATAAAAAGATGAGTTTCCACTACTCTTATATTGTTATTTTCGCCTGATTCAAAGCAAATTGTTCAAGAAGTAAGTCTTAAAAAATTTAATTTGCGTTTAATTTATTTAATTAAACTTACTCGATCGAGTAAGATTTTCAAAACTGAATAGCTTTTATTTAAATATTTGTATAATAGCTGCTTTTATTTCGCTAATGTATATTATACATCTATCAGTTACTGATTTTTTGTTTATATTTTGTCTAAAATTTCGTATGAATATTTTTTTTTTTTTTTTTAAATTTAATAATTTTCAATGTATATTTGTTTACTCCGTACTGCTTCGTTTTTATCAACAAGCAAACCCGTATAGAACAGAAAAACATGATTATAAAAAACCACTGTTAAGAAATTGAAGATTTCTATTCTCGTACTTTGAGAGAAAGTTAGATCAGGCATTTTCACAGATTGGGTTAAAAATATTTCAAGATTAAACTTTATCGCAAGAAAACGGTTTACGGCTATGTTCGAAGTAATCTCCGAAATAATTCATTGGTTCCTTAGACTTTGATTCAATGATGTCATTGTAGGCGGGCACTTCTTTTCGCAAAATTAGTAGCAACAGCCAATACGACTGCAAGTTGATACTTTTATTTGAAAGTGCAAAATAGATAAAAACTAAAATATCTTTTACCAATTTAAAAAGCGCAACTTGGCAAAGATGCATATTATTGTTTTGTTTTTGCAAACAAAACTTGATGCTTGAGAATAGGAACATGTGTTGCCAAACAATGATTGACTATATTTAGCATCTACGCCCCTATTAAAAATTTCAGTTTGTGATACGTAAGTACGTTTTTATATTATTTTAAAATTATCGCATTATTGAGAACTCATTAGTTTTTATAAACAAGTAAGTTTTTAAAAACTCTTAGTTACATTTAATTTATTTAATTTTGATCTAGTAAGGTGTTTTAAAACTGAATATCTTTCATTAAAGTTTTTGAAAAATATTTTTTTGTTAAACTTTTATTATATTTATTATATTATTATTTTATTATATAGAACCTTTATTAAGTCAGTTAAATATTTTTTATTTATATTTTATTAAAAGCTTAAAATGAAATTTTAATTTATAAGTTTAAATTATAATTTTGTGATTTAAATTAAGTAATTTTAGTTAAAATTTAAATTTAATAATTTCAATATAAACTTTTAATAGTTTTAATTCATATTTAAATTTAATTCATATTTAAGTTTAATTCATATTTTAATTAAATAATTTAATTCAATTTATAATTCTAGATATAGTTAAATTTTTTAAAGGTAGGATACTTTTTGAAATAATATCGATTATAAATGTGAATACTTTGCTGAAAACAGAAAATGTTGCGTTTAAACCGTACTGCTTTGCTCACATCAACGAATCAGCATGTGAAGCAGAAAAGCCTACTCCAGAACATGAGAGTGAAGTACAGTTAGCTTTCCCGCAACCTGCTCTTGGGGGGGAAAAGTTAGATCATGCACAGAGAGCGCAGCCAGAAAATTTATTTAGAGGTAGTTTTAAAATCGACACTTTTAATTTCCATAAATTTTCAATGCAACGTTTTAAATATGAAAACTTTTAAAATAAAAAAAAATGCTTTCGAATATAATTACAACAGAATAATATTTATAAATTAATAATTATTTGGCAAAAAAAGATCCTCTTAATAACTTTTTTGATTTAGATATCAAAAAAAAAAATCTTAATGATTCGAGAATCTTAACTTTAATGTGTTAAATGTAGGGCAAACAAAACAGTTTAAGTTACAAAATTTGATGCAAAATTTGATTCTGAATAAAATCTACTTTTCATTGGATTTAGGTTTTTGGCCATCAAAATAAGGGAGATAACTGCAGTTTGAAAATAGGGTTTTTATGGTTTAAGCAGAAGAGTGTTGCAAAAGATTGGATCTCTTAATGTTAATTTTACAATTGGAATATTTCACAACGTCTCTCCCATCTCTGGAAGAATTTAAGCAATTAGAAAGAAAGAAAAAAATGCATACAATTGTAAAACTTGTTTCGTCAAACATAATTTTAAGTGAACTATAATTAAGATTGATATTTACTTTTTATTACTTAATTTAAAAATTGAAGAAAAATTATAAAACATTCATACATACAAATTTCATCATAATTGTAAACTTACGTAATTTTTAGCAACAGAATGCAAAATATTGAGGAAAAAAATATTAAAAATATCGCGTTTTGGAAAATTTTTAATTCCGAAAATGACAACCAATTTCATTAATATTTTTTATTCTCTTCATTCAAAATTTCATAGAAAATTAGAATTCGTCGAAAAAAAGGGCATGTTTATTCAGAGAAGGTATGTATATTGTGTCTGATTTCATAACTTAAATTATCGTCTCAACAAATAAAAGACCCCTCGAGCTGATAAGATGCTTAGTTTTGCCCCTATTTGCTGTTGCTGAAACAAACCAAAAGTGTCATCTTGAGATTTTCTCTCAAACTAATTCATCAATGGTTTAGTTTGGGAATACCATATTTTTCAAATTTGGTAGGATGACTATATAGGATAACAATTTGTTAATTTAATTGTGTTAATACCGTGCCTAGCGTTAAACATTACTTAAAAATTTCGAAAAAATACACTAAGCAAGTTAAATTATAAAGAGCATTTATTTAAAGTCTGATGTTATTGATATTATCAAAATTAAAGTTAACATATCGTTCAAATTTTAAATAAACCTCATGCAGAAGATTTTGCATTCCATTTACAAATAAATTTTTTGTAAAAAAAAAAAAAAAATAACTGTGAAGTATATTTGACTTTTATCATGCGAGTAATAAATAGACTAGTGTTTTGTGATTCTTGCAAGCTGCAGTATTTTTTTTCCAGAGTAGAATTCTATCGTGTGTGGTTTTTAAGAACTGTGACAGTTGAAATATGTTTTTAATCAGTTGAAATATGTTTTATAAAATGTGTTTTTAATCTGAAATGGGAAATTAAAATGGTAAAAATAATTGTTAAAATTTATTTTCCTGTGGTAAAAAGTTGAACCAAATGATTTGTTCTATAAAAATCGCAAGTTTTCAATTTGCGAATAAAATTTTTAAAAAATTTTAAGGAATTCTTTTGACAAATTATCAAGCATTGTCATTACATCTGACAGTGGGAAAAGTATTAATTTGAGAAAACGTTATTTTAAATTTGCCTATGCATATTTTTTTCATGCTTGTAGTATTGCTAAAGTAATTATTACTTTATTAAAGTAATAATTACTATTACTTATAAAGTAATTAAAAAAAATTTTTTTTAGCTTTGATCATGAGCTTAAACTCTAATACTCAACGTATAAAAATGGAAAATAAAATTTTAAAAAAATTTTAAGGAATTCTTTTGACAAATTATTAAGCACCGTCATTGCATCTGCTAATGGGAAAAGTATTAATTTGAGAAAACGCTATTTTAAATTTGCCTATGCATATTTTTTTCATGCTTATAATATTGCTAATATATTGTAGTATTGCTAAAGTAATTATTACTTTATTAAAGTAATAATTACTATTACTTATAAAGTAATTTTAAACTTCTTTTTTAGCTTTGATCATGAGCTCAAACTCTAAATTTCAACGTATAAAATTGCTTCAAAACTTTCTCATTCCACATCTCAACTGGGGAACTTTTGGAGATAAGCTCTATTGGATTAACCGAGAAAGTAAAATATTCTTTTTTCATTGGAGACATCAGAGCAGCTCGCAATTCCGTCCTGATGATTCTAAGGTATATAAAGTAAGTTAAATGAAGGGCATTCTACTGTCTAGAATTAAGCATTCCAATGTTTGAATTTTTTATTGTTATTAATTTTTTTTTTCAGTGGCTGAGTATTAAGTTGGGCGGAAACCTTCTTGCATTGAATGTATTCTCTAAGAAATCCCCAGAACCTATAAAATGCGCCCAATTATTTTTTAATTTGGGATTTTATCTGAATACTATAGCGATCAATAATCAACCAATCGGCTTCTTGTCGCCAAATCTTATAATTAAACTACAATTACAGAAAGCACGCAATTTCATCTGAGAGAACGGAAAGCGCAGATACGACGGCTAACCGTGTGAGGTTCTCGTGGTCTTCCTCTCCATGTAACGCAAATGCGGGTTAGCTCCATCAAAAAAGTCCTCCACGAAGACAAATTTCTCCCAATACTCGATCCAGGAGTACCCTTGTTTGTCTTCTGGATTGTTTTCAAAATTACAAGACTACGGAGTTGAACATTAGTAGTCGTAAACCCATAAAATTGGGTCGGCTGTTCAACGACGGTCATAAAATAAAATCTAAACCAGAGTTTTGTTGTTTTTTTCCCCTATTATAAACTAAACAATAAACTGAACATTAAACTAAAAGTTTAATCACTGTAACCACTAGCTACTATAAATTTTCTAAACCACTTTAAACTAACCACTTTAACTAACCTAAAAACCACTTTAAACCACTTTAAACTAACTTAAACCTTTCTTATCTTAAACATGTAGGTAATTTTTTATTGTTTAAATATAGAATGATTCACTAAACATAGGTTTCATGAAGAATTCACTGTGAATTTATTGAGCCAACACAGTGAATAAATTTTCAGAACTTATAATGGAGAATAAAATTTTTTAAGTACAAAATAATTTTACTGAAAGATTTTTCTATATTATTTCAATTATTGTTATTCATTTATTATTTTAATGTAGAAAGATCCTTGCACTCGCTGAAAAGAGATTTTATGTCAGGTTCTGATTTAGTTAACTTCACTCTCTAGTTATACTCTCTTGTTAAAGTAAGTTGTTTATTTTTAGCAGCAAATCATTTACAGCACTAAATCTACATTCAACTTAATATTTAAGATAGAAACGGTAACAGTAGCTCTCTTGCACATTTGGTTACATTTGAATGTTTGATTTCAATTTCCTTACGAAGTCATGTCATTACTTTTTTTTAATATTAAATAAAGCTTTAACCGACTCATTTTATATTTCTGTGAGTTCTATTCGATATTGCACATTTTAAATATCAGGCACATCTGATAACATTGATTGCTGCATCGCCCAATTTGAGAAATCGATTTTTTTTCTTTCAATTCTTAAAATTTATCTTTATCTTTTAAAATCTATCTTTTAAATCAGACGATAGAATTTTCAAATGACAGACGCAAACATCAATATAGCGTCGACTTAAACTTTTTATTAGTCCATTTTTAATAGCTTTCACTTTACAATCAAATTGCTTCCCAGTAGAGCGAGGACTCCACGTCTAAAACACTGGTTTAGTTAATACTGAATCGAAATATCACCGGTGACATGCGGCATATCGGACGTGCGTATGTTGCTAATCCGCTTTGTGTCGGTAAAGTGCTTAAATAAGAAGAGCGTCAAAAAAAATTGCCAGTTTTGATATAATTGGTCAACTGTAAGTTTCATTGGAAAAAGGGCACACGGAAAAAAATGCAGATAAATATACAACACAACCAAAATTCTAAAGTAATGATTTAATTACACATTTGCTGACAATAAAAAATTTTTTTAACATTTATTTTAAACAAAAAGCTTATACAAAATAATTTTTTGAATTTTGCTTTTATTTTGAGCGATTTTACATTTTAATACTTTATATTTGATCGGAATAAAATATGTTTTGAGTCTGTTTAGGTACCATTTTTAGATCTACTTAGCTTAAAATATTGCTGGTAAACACAAATAAAAGTTATTGAAGTATAAGGAACAAGGTTTTGACTCAACTTAATTACATATTGTTAAAGGTTGGGTGAAGAGGAGAGGGGGTATTTGAATATAGATGTGTGTAAATGTGTCTAATAATTTTTGTTCTTATTATTATCAGAAAATTGTTGGAAATAATCAAAATATATTATCTTTAGTAAAAAACGTCTATAACTGAATTATAAAGTGCTCTAGCGTTTTTTATTTGATTTATTTGTATAATGCACTGGTTGTAAGTATATTTAATTTCAAAGGAAAATTTAATTTATAAATTAAAAAAACTACTTAGATTTTTGAATTGTGTTTAATTTAATATAATTGTGTTTAATTTAATAAATATAGCTGAATTCCTAATAAAAAAATACTTATGAGAGAAAAATTGAGTATAATGAAAAGGTAATAATAAAAAATATTTGCTAATTGGTCCTCTATAACGGCATTGTTAGAGGAAAAGTTGGTTTAGCTAGTGATATTGTAGTGCAGGGAGTATTATACCATAAATAAAATTTCTAAGATTGTTAATGTTATTTTTGGATAGTTCCTTAAATCAAAATTTTGTTTCCTATTTGATTCCTGGCAGAGCGTTGAAGATACTTCTACTTACTATTATTGCCACAAATTACAATATGTGTCCGTCCAAAAAATACACTGAGCAAAATATCGCAGTAACTTTCATCTTCGCTTCCTCTTTCAGTGAGCGTTTGTATTTTATAAAATGATCCTTCCTCCTAAAGAATCTCTTTATATTGTCAAGTTCAAACTGAAGTAGGTTCTAGCGTCTACTAAATAAGCGAATAAATATTGCTAACTTTTATCAGATCATAAAATCTTAAACAGGTATTTTAAGACTTTATCACTTCTTATAAAAATGCTTTTTTTTCTAGCTGAATTAAAACCAGTAATAAAAATTGTCAGCAATATTTTTGTTACACAATCGAATTTTGAAGGATCTTTGAATTTTGACGTAATTTTGATTTTTGACTACATCTAAATTTTTACAACGCCCCTATCTATTTCTAGTGTCACCGCATTCAGATGCGATTTTTGAACCAGTTGATCTGACAATTTAACCCTTTAACCCTTGAAAAGTGTTACGTACTCTGGAGGCATTCAAAAATTTTGATGCTACATACTAATTTTGATTCCGCTTTTGATTTATTCATTGAAGTTTAATTTTAAAGAGAACCATGATTTTACTTCGGAAAAGTCGACAAATATCAATTAAACTTTTCTAAAACTTTTCATTCTTTTTTCAACTTCTGATGCAGAACGCGCCTTATAAGCTCTATTTAAGTTTGATAATTCTAGGAATATATATATATATATATATATATATATGAAAAGTATGTTTGCTAAAATATAGTTAAAGTTTGACTTTTTTTCATTCAATTGAAATCTAGATGAATAAAAATAAATGTTTCTCTTTGATCCGCAACTACTGACATAATAAGATAGCAAAGAAATCGACAGTAATAATCTCGAGGGAAAATTTTTAATGACTTTTTCTAGTCATTCGTTTCAGTTCATAAATATTTCTAGAATCCTTACTGCATTAAACATGGTATGTTTAATAAGTTTAATGGTTTAAGGTTACGAAGTCAGACACAAAAACAAAGCTTTTCGGAATAATTTTCAAAATTTTAATGAATTTGAATTTCAAGCTCTTAAACTATAAAGAGTAGCCTCAGTCTAAAAACAGGGTTACAATACATTTAATGCAAGAAAACAGTTGAAACTTATTTAGCCAAAGATAATCATACGTAAAAAATTATTTTTATTACATAATATATTTTTATTATATAATTTAATTGTGATCAAATAAATTTATATTCTAAGATTTACAAATTTTTACATCAATTTAATGACAAACTTAAAACTGTAAGGGGATAAGCAAAGTAGTTCTCAANTGTGTGTGTGTGTGTGTGTGTGTGTGTGTGTGTGTGTGTGTGTGTGTGTGTGGGAGAATAAAATTTTGAAGCTTCTTAAAAACAGATATATGAAATAGTTTAGTTTCATTGTAGAGAACTTACTTCTGAGGTATGAGTAAGATCAGGTTAAGTAATATGGTTTCCTGAAAAACGCGATTTAACTTTAAAATGTCGTAAAGTCGTATATGTTAAACAACTCTATATTGCATATATTACGCAACTTTGGATTGGTTTATGTAATTCATGCAAAAATTATAATGTTGGAAAATCATTCTAACACATCATTTTCATTTCTTACTCTGTAAGTTTTCAGAAAATGCCCGTAATAAAAATTCTATATACATCTTCTTCATTTGCTAGTGGCTACATATTGGCAATTATAGTCTGTCTATGAAAAGAACTCTCCTTGCCGTACGACTGGTGCAGTGGCGGTGACCATGGTTACGAAGTTTTAACTATTTCATGTAGAAGAGTTGGGTCAACATTTAAGACAAATTTTGCCTCAGGTCGGCAAGAGAAAGGGGATTAGAGTGGTTGAAAATGCGCTATTTCTTGTTTCCGTAGCAACAGACGAACTTAGACCTTGTGGCGAAGGAAGTTCTTTTGATAAACAAACTATGCAATCTCCTCCTTTCTTCTACGAAAATGCAAACAGAAGTTTTGAAAAAGTTGCTGCTTAGTATTGCTTATAGAAGGAACTCCCCTTGACACAAAGTCTAAGAATGTCTGCTGCAATGAAAACATGACATCAAAGAGGGAAGCTTCTCTCTCCCCTGATTTCTTTTTTCTCACCGACCCGATACGAAAGTTTGTCTGAAATATTGACCCCTACATAATATAGTTAAAACAAAGAATATGCATAGGAGACGAAGGCTAGCTTCCATACTTATAATATAAACCAGTCCCTCAAGGTCTCAAGCATAGATATAAAATCCCTGATTATATATTAGTCCCTGAAAGGAAAGAACAATATTTAGGGGAACAACAGGAAAAGTTCTTGAAACGTGTTTTCCCCCTTCACTCCTCCCAACAGCTACTTGGATTGGGGAGAAGAAGAAAATTATCCGCAAGTCATAAGAAAATATTACTGATTAAGTTATTATAATTCTTTTTGTTGATTAATTTCATAGTTTGGTGACTTTTTATTAGGAATGGGCTGTAGTGAAAGGACTTTGGAATGCGGATGACACGAAAGCTATTTGTAAAGCTAAGCAAAGAGTGCGGGCTGCACTTTTGAAACTCAGATGCATTAAATGCATCAAAAAAACCAATGACTATAGAATCTACAAGATTCTAAATGAAGGTACGTTTTTCATTTTCTGGATACTTTATTTATATAAAAAAAAATTATCGAAAATATGATGTTAAAAATTTTTTGAATTAAAATAGTATTAATATATAAAGACAATAAATGTTATTTTCGTGATGTCTAATGCAAAAAAATTTCTTGTACTTGGTAAATATTATCAGCTAAATATTTTGCAATTAAAACAAAGCGAGCGACTCTATACTTTTCTTTATATTGTTTTCTTAAGTGCCTTAAATAATATTTAATTAATAACATTTACCGCACTTTCATATTACTTATGATATCATGAATGATAGTATAACAATGAGAAGGCCTTCGGCACCCTTCTTAATAAGGACACGCACATCTCACGGCTTCTCAATCGCTTATTTTCTGTGTTTTAAAAGAAGGACCTTTATAGTTAGCTAATTTCATACAGTTCATATCTAAATTAATAACAACTCTTAATGAAGTGCTCCAGGTTCAAATACCAGCGGTGGCTGGTTGATACGAATTCTGCACCCGGTTTGCACCGACCACAGTGGTGATGTAAAATATGCTTAGTGGTAATGGATCATGGGTTAGAGTCCCCTTACCGTCACGGTAACCGTGAAAGGTTTTCCTCTCAATGTAACTTAAATACCGCTTAGTCCACCACGAAGGCTAGTTTGTCCCAATGTTTGACCTAGGAGTTCCCTTGTTTTCTGGGTAGGGTTCAAAATTACAAGACATCAGAGATGAACATTGATAGTCGTCATACTCAGAATTAGGTTGACTGTTCAACGTCGGTTATTAAATATACTATAAAACAAAATTAATTAAAACGTATTATTTGATATGGTTATTTGATTATTTGATTAAAGCATATGGTTATTTTAAAATGAAATATTATATATTCACCTGAAGATGTATTATTTTTAAGCAAACAGAAACAAGAAGAAATGTAGTAACTATTGGAAATCCCACTAAGTAATTCTTTTGCAATCTTAGCGTTGGCAAATATTCTTACATTCTCGTTTATTACTTTACAACTTTTTAGTAATTTTAGACAAAAAGTGGAATCTTTAGACAGAGTTTAAATTAAGTATCGAGTTTAAAATATACTTTAAATCAAAATTAGTTAAGTATAAAAAAAGATTAAAATTCGTTTGGTGACATTTTTTTACATCTTATATTCATAATTTTGCAATCCAAATTTGTATTAAAATGCATTTCAAATATTTTAGAAGCATATTTTATCAAATTTTATGTAATTAAGACTAAGTTGAATTTATTTCCTTTTAATAGTAATATATAATAGTAATAACTTAAATACAAGTTTAGGAAGTACAAAATTGAAGGTATAAATAAATGTATTGTCGTATAAATAAAATGAATTGCAGGTATTAATAATGTATTGTTATAGAGTTTCGGCAATTTTTTTTCTTTAAAAATATGACTTTTGAGATTTTAACCAAACTTTTTTTTCTTCATATATCCAGGCAAAACAAATTTTTGAAAATTGATTTAATAATAACAATTATAGTTATTATTTAATTATATAATTTTTAGTTATTATTAGCTATAATGGATATCATTAGTTTAACTATGAGTACATATATGTATGTGTACTATGTATTTTAAAACTGTTTTTTTCTTTCTTAAATTAGAAGAGAGAAAAAAAAGTGAAGAACACTTCGAAATTCAAAACTCAAATTTTGGACACAGCACCCATTTTCTTCTTGAACATCTTCAAGAGGAAGAAATTCTACATGAAATTTTCATGGAAAAATTACTTTCCGAAGAAAGTGAAAATAAAAATTATTTTGGACAATTGACGTAGTGTAATTTAAAGAAAGAGAGAGAGAGAAACTTTTTTCAGCTCATTTATCATCTTTTAAACTTCATTTTCATTATTCTTTTGTTTACATTGTTATACAATTATATTTTTAATATTGTTAGATTTTTTTAATAAATGTATGCTGTTCATGAGTAGTTTACTATTATTTTTTTGAATTGATTATGTAGAATTTGAAAATTTACATCAGAATACAATTTTAAAGATCAGATTACAACATTGAAATTTGAAGCAACCATAGAAATAAATTTTTCATACAATGCGATTCGCTTTGAAGGATAACAACATTTGCATGCAGAAAATTTTTATAATATTGCAGATCCTTTAAACAACATAAAAAACCAAGTTTCAAAATACACTAAAATGCGCTATTTTCCAAACAAAAAATAACTATTAGGAAATTATTATGAAGCAGCTTTGTAGTATTAACTCATATTAGGAAAATAAGTTGATAGTAGCCAGTATTATTGTTTTAAAAATTAGTATTTTTTTCTCTTAATTTTTTGGAAAGAAAAATCATAAATAGGAACAATTTAAGGAAATATTATCATATTTTATCTTTTATTATATTATTTTTTTATCATAAAAAGTATAGCAAAACCATCGATTTGATCACCCTCTGAGTTGAATATCTATTTAAGTTGACCTCCATTATCAAGAATCGTTTGCCTTAATGAACAGGACGTTCTATATAGACTGCTTTTAATGTCTCTTTGGCGCCCCTTTTTAAAAATAAAAATAAAAAAGCACACACATTAATATCTACGCGGATAAATTACTTAATAATTAATTAAATTTTGAAATCACATTGCTGGAAGGAGAATCTAATAAACAACAAGACAGGTTTGATTGAGGAGAGTAATAGAGAGGAGTTAAAAGATGATATAGTTGAAATACCATCAGGTTCAGGGCTCGAAAAAACTCAGAAATTTTACCCGTCCCCGAGGACGGCTTGCCCAACAATGTACCCGTCCTCCTTTGAAACTAACCCGTAGCTTCTAAATAAATAAAAATATAATTTTCTCTTATTTATTACAAACATTTATATAAATTGCACAATGAATTAGTAGTTACTAGGATTACATTATACAGTAATAAAAGAAATACTAGGTTACTAATAGTAAAACCTAGTATTTCTTTTATGAAATAATTTATTTCTTTTATGAAATAATTTAAATGACAAAGGTCAAGTTATCTGGAATGTCAATTTATCCGAGGGTACTGCGTTTTTTAAATGAATCAAATATGACGTTTGCCAGTTATACAATCAAGCCAATGATTTACAGAGGTTTCTGCACAGAAATCTGAAAGGGGTTTTCCATTTAGGTAGATGTTCATAATTACGTTTAACGCTTCTTGTTTAAGACCAGTAAGTAATGTGTGTTTTTTTCTGTAATTTCATTGCTGAAAAGCCCCTTTCAAACACTGCAGTACTCCCAGACAGAGAAAACATCAATTCTAGTAACAAAAATTGAAAATGTATCACGAAAATTAACGGGAAAATGGCCGTCCGCGCGGACGTCGGATTCGAGAAATTCGTTGTCCGCGGGAAATTTTTGACCGCCGAGGACGGGCGGACGGGCTGTTTTTCGAGCCCTGATCAGGTTTTAAACCTAAAATTAAATCTTCTTATAACACTCGCTTGCTAGAAGTATGATTTCGTTTTCCTTTGCTTTTTACTTAGATATTAACTTTGCGACTTCCAATTAGTATTTTTTTTTGTTTCATTTTTGGCAAAGATTCTGAAAATACACATGAAGGATAGTCTTTACGGAACATCCTGAACAATAAAAAAGAAAAAAAAATTTTTTTTTTACTCTGACCATCTATATACTTTGTATGCTAATAATGAAATAAATCACATTTAGTGCTATTCCAACCTTTTTATAAGCTGCCCAAAAGCAAATTCTTCTACATAAAATTTTCTATGGTGTTTTTAAGTTGTGTATTGGAATTTTAATGAATTCGGGGAAATAGAATTAAAAGCTAAAATGAAACCCATTTCATACATCGACCATAGATGACATCATTAATCTTTTACTTTCTTGGAACAATCCTGCTAATCTTTTTCTTCTTTTGTAGAGGTCTTTTAGCCCAACAACAAAGAAGAAATTATTTTTGTGAGCATTAAGTTTGCATAAGTTCGTACGTATAACAAATAAAATTTTAAAATGCTACAATGGTAATGTAGCATTTTAAAATTTAGCATTTAAAATGTAATGTATTATGGTAAGTATTCTTATTGCATAGGTTCTTCAGTACTATGTAATATTTAAAAAAAATCATTCATAAAGTAAATAACTGAATGAAACAATATAGAAATATGCATATTTTTCTCCCTAAACTAAACAATTTAATATTGCTTCACGTATGCAACAAGCAACGATTCATTCTGGTAATTAAATTCATTTAAGATATATGAAGTTATATTTAAGGAATACAATTTCATTCATCAATATTTCTATTAGTAACACACGTGCAGTTATTTTTGAAAGTGGAACAAGTCCATTTGGAAAGTGGTGTAAGTCTAATATATAATACATGTTATTATATAATCGGGAAAAAGGGTTACGTCAGTCAGAATTCAAAGAAGAGGAAATATGTCTAATCGATTATTATGTTTTAAACATTTTAAAAATCTGAATTATGATATAGCAAATAAATAAACTTATGATTTTAACACATTATCATAGAGAGATGTTTATATGCATCCAATTTTGTTCTCATTATTTTTTTTTTACATAAAAAAAAGTTTTAAAGAATAATTTTTTTGCTCCAATTTTAAAAAAAGTTTTTATTTTTATTTTTGAAGTGTCAGAAAGTAAATTCATTAATCATTAAAAAGAATAAAGCGTGCAAATAAATAAAATAAAAAGAGTGCATATTTTAATTGATAGTTCTGAAAGGTTCTTTTTAAAGTTGTAATACGAAAATTAACATATTTTTAAAAACTACGTTTGAAAAGTGTGCTAACAAATAGATGTATATTTTTCTCACCAAAACGGAGAGAGTGGAATTTTAAATGGTATCACCATTAAAAATTCCACTTAAGTTATGTGTGACAATTTTTTTAAAAATTTATTTTCTAATTTTAAGTCTATTGAACAAACGTGGTACTAAAAAATATGTTTATTTTCTATTTTCTGCATCTTAGTTTTGTATTTCCTGCTTCGTTTATGCTGGAAAATAGTCAAAATTTATATTAACGATAAATCCTACTTGAGGCCAGAAAATGTTTAAAAATTATATTCTGCACAGAGGACCAATTTAAAATTGAGCACTCCAACTAGTCAAAAAAATGGTCGAAATCTCAACTGCAAGTTTTTTTGTTGGTGTTTGTTTTACTACTAATTATTCTTAAAATTGATTATCAGATTTGATAGCAGTAAAGTAAGAGTCTGTGTCAAATATGATTTCTGTAAATAAAAATTTAATTCATTTTTTTCATGCTTTTACGAAACTACTAATGGAATAAAGACTTTGTTGTAGAGTTAACACCACAAACATGCTTGCAATGTTATAATGACTTCATGCCAATGTTTTTTGAACATTCTAGGATTTGGGAAACGTATAAATATTGTATCTGGGTTCCTACAACTCTTGGAAAACTATAATAGTGGTAACCAAAGTCAGACCGAGATCATTAAATATTATTTGTAACCACCACTAAATGTTAATTGGTGAATAAAATAGTGCCCAAAAAGACCACTAAACATTAAAGTGGTATTTTAAAAAAGAAAATTCTTGCTAGAAGCTACGTAAATTTACTAAAAGAATACTTAATACTAAAAGAATACTTTAATCTTGCCGTTCTCACAGTAGGCTCTCACTTATTTGTTCATACTTTCCCCCAAGTAGTCATTAGTTCTTTTATTAAACTCATTAAATACAAGTGTGACTCTATTAAAATTTGTAGTAAGCATATTCATTCACATTATTATATCTGATATTGAAAGCGATGAATAAAATTTATCTAAAGGGGCAATTAAATTCGAAATTAAGAAGTTAATTTTCTACCGTAAAAAACTTTTTTTTTTAGTCATTTGTTACTTAACAATTAGGTACTAGTCTTATAACTAAATATGAAAATGAGACACAGTTTTGCCCTCTTGACAAAATTTATACAGAACTTTCGAGTGATAAATATCAGAAATATTCCATTTGTCTACTTTAACTCTCTCCTATGTTTCGAAATGTTTACAGCGAAAAATGGAACGTTTTCTCTCCCAAATGATTCAAACTTAGTAATGAATCTGGGGACAAGTATTGCTCTATTACAATTGAAATGCCAAAAAAAGAACATGCTGTTATATCAACCGATCAGGGTTAAAAGCTCTTAAACTATCAATTTAAAAAATCAAAACACCATTTTCAATTCTAAAATTATTTTAGTATACGCTGATATCGCTTATTCATTCTCTTTTTTTTCCCATGTTCTTTTCTCTCTTAATTCACTTACCATATTAAAAATCATTCACATTATTTACTTAGGACATGGGTAAACAAAAACTTAATCTACAAAAAGCATAGACCGATTTTGTAATTACGTAGACATATGTTTAACCTTTAAAATGACGTAAACAGAAAATAAACGGTTTTTACCTGGTATAAAATTTAAAGAAAAAACTTGCTTTAGGATAGTCCTTATAATTTTGTTAGTAATTATACTTAAGATGAGTTCAGGTTCACATTTAGAATATTGAGTAAACAAAATAAGTATATGTTATTCTTATGCTAAATGAACACAGTTTTTTTCTTTTCACCTCTAGCTACAAGATGATTATTAAATATAAACCAGGTCTCTGGGCATTACGATATCAGATTGTTTTCGACACAATTTTCTTTTTTTTTAAAAAAAAGGCTAAATTAAGATTTTAATTTTGTTTGTTAAGCAGAAGTCCTAAAATTATAAATTTAAATTAAAGTTTAAAAAATAATTTTCAAAATAAAGCCTAACTTGAGCTTACAACTACAAATTTTATTACGTCAAGCTAACAGCTCTACAACTAATTGTAATGCATAAATTTTTAAATCTTTTTTTCGACTGGGAGTACAAGTAAGTTTCTGCCGTTTTCTATCAAAAATTAGCAGTTTATTGTGAAAAAACGGTACATTATCTTTTATTCAAAGTATTATCCATTAAAAGACACTACTTTTCCCCCATCTTGGGAGCATTCAGATACCACGACGGAAGAACACTTCATTTTTCAAGGATATCCACGAATCGACCCATTCCTTGGTTTCTTCAAATGATGTAAATTTCTGCTCAGATAGACCATGTGCCATCGACAGGAATAGGTGATAAACTGAAGGGACAGGGTCTGGCGAATAGGGTGCGCGTGGTAGAAATTCCTAATGAAGTGTTTCCAAATAGGTTTTGACCGGTTTCACAACATGTGGAAGAGCATTATCACGCAGGAGAATAATTTTGTCATGTCTGGTGTAGTACTGGGCACGATTTTCTTTGAGTGCTCAGCTCAATCTCATTTATTGCGTTCGGTAGAGACTTTCAGTAATGGTTTCGCTTGGTTTATGCAACTCATAATAGACGATGTTAATCTGATCCCATCAAATACTCAGTATGAGTTTTTTCCACGAACATTTGGCTTGGGTGTCAATGTTGTAGTACGGCCAGGTGCTCCCCATGATATCTTCTTTGGGTCATCGTAGTGAATCCATTTCTCGTCACCAGTGGCTATACGATGCAGAAACCTCTTTTTCTTATGCCTGGCAAGCAGCATTTTACTCATGCAAAATTGACATCCAATGTCTCTCGGCTTCAGTTCATATAGAACCCAACTTCCTTGTACAGATTACTTCCAACGATTTTAAATTATCTGAAATTGCTTGCTGAGTCACTTGTAATGTAAGAGCAAGTTCTTTTTGCGTTTGGGACAAATATTATTCCAATATCGGGCTTCCACGTCAAACTCACCATTTTTAAACTTCTGAAACCACTCACTACTTCTCTCACTTAAAGCAGCCTCACCATATGCTTTTCCAAGCAATCGATGAGCCTCAGCTGCAGATTTCTTCAAATTAAAGAAGTAAATAAAAAGTTCACGCAAATGACGCTTATTTGGCATAAAACTTGACATTTTTGCAAGAAAATAATTACATAATGCTAATACAGAATCACTAATACTTCAAGGTTATGTTGCTACCAGATGAACAAACTTACAATAAGACGTTTAACACCAGTCAATTTCTACATATTCTTCTGGTAGTGCCATCTTGTAATGAACAACAGGAACTTATTTGTACACCCAATAGATCGATAATATGATTACCTGTGTCTTAAACTAAAATCTTAAAAAAAATAAATAATGAAATAGAACTATAAATACATAGCTAACATCGAATTTGTAAAGAAAAAATCTAATTATTATTTAAAGCTTGATAAAAACACCGATTTAAACTTAGACCTTAAGTTTTAGTTCAAAGTATCCCCAACATTATACCAAACTTATATTCAAAATTTCAAAGAATACTATAATTGTTGTTGCAATGTTTGTTAGCGTAAAGAGACTTTCTATAGAAAACGCTATTAAAATTCTGACAATAAAAATTTTTTAATTCGAAAAATAATTTTTTTTCTGTAAAAAATATAATTGATTCAAATAAATAAGGGTTAAAATAATTAAAGCAAAATAAAAAAACAGTTTACTTCCGGTTACATCTGTCAGCAGACAAAAAAAAAAAAATAAGNAAAAAAAAAAAACAAGTGTAACTTCATTTCTAAAAATTGGAGACAAAAATTTCAAAAGGTTTTCGGAAGGCTAATGAACTAAAGTTTAAACATGGATAATAAAAATAAAAATATAATCGAAATTATTAGTTTTCAGTCAGATGGATACCTTAAATGACATAGCTATAACTATATTATTAATAGTTTTTTTTATTATTATTATTCGTATTAGAACTTATTTCATTTATTAAAATTTTTTTTTACGTTTCATTTTTTTAAAATTATTATTTTATATTTATTTGTTACGTTTTTTTTTATTATCCAGTAGAACAGCGATAAATCTGTGTTTGTTCTAGACTGATAACTACTCTTAACTATAGAAACCAATTTTTAATTTGTATAACTTTTTCAAATTCACAAAAATAAACATTAAATACAACAAATCAAAGTGTTTATTAATATAAATGTCTCAATTAACATAACTAATAAACAAGCATACAAGAGAAAATAGTAAAATGAAAGTATAACAAAAATTTTAATAGATTAAAAGGCTACAATGACAAGAATTCGAATGAAAAATTGAAAAAAAAAATTATAATTACATAACAGTAAAATATATGATTTATAATAAAGACAAAACAAAATATTAAAATGAATACATAACAAGAATTTCAATAAACTTTTAAATTAATTAACATTCTAACTAATTTAATTGCATTAAGCATTCATGTTGGGTGTTATTTAGTCAAAGTCACAATTGAAAATATTTTATGGCAAGAAGTGTTTTCAATCACAGGCATAATATAACTACAACACAATACACTGCAGATAGATACAATGATTATAACCGCATACTAAACAATTTACAAATAATCTAAAAATCTTACAAATAACTAAACAAATCTTACAAATAATCAAACAAAGTAATCTACAAATTGCTTCCTAGTTTTATATCTATTGGTACAATGATAACAATTCTATATATAGTTTAGAATGCTAACAATAGTCACATACATATTAAAAGTTTGTATTATTTGCCTCTAAAGAATATAATATATGAATAGAGCATAATCAAAACAGTTAAAGATTAACAATATTTAGTTATTTTATAAGTACCATATAGACTTTACAAAAGTAATACAGGTAAAAAGGTTTAAAATTATTCCACAAGAGTCAATGTAAAATTTCCTCATTTCAAAAGAAATGTAATGATTTGATAAAACATACATAGTCTTGAAAATTGAGTATATAGAAGTACATTCTATATCTAGTGGTACAATGATTACATTTCCATATATACTTTAGAATGCTAGCAATAGTCACATACTTATTATAAGTTTGCATTATTTGCCTCTAAAGAGTATAATATGCAAAAGGAAATCCAGATAATAGCATTCTTAAAAAGAAATAATAAATGAAAAGAGCATAATTAAAATAGTTAAAGATTAACAATATTTAGTCATTTAATAAGTACCATTTAGACATTACGAAAGTAATACAGGTAAAAAGGCTTAAAATTATTCTACAAGAATAAAATTTCCTTATTACAAAAGAAATGTAACGATTTGATAAAACATACATAGTCTTGAAAATTGAGTATATAGAAGTACATTCAAAGAGCTGTTCTAAGAATAAAATGCAGTTCACTATAAGCATATTCCCACAGCTCTTGAAGAACAATTACTTACAAAAATTTCATTTCAAAGTAATAAGAAATGTTTTTATGTTAAGACATTCATATCAGTGCTTGGTTCAACAAAGTGAACTTGCTTTCATTACTACAAAAAAGCCAGTGAGAATAAAAATGTGTTTAGCACAATATATGGTTTTAAAAACCAGTATCAGTTAATGTAAACTGTTAAAACTGTAGTTTACAGTAAGAACATTCTCACCACTGTTTAAGAACAGATACTTACAAGACTTAATTTGTAAGCAACAAGAAATGTATTACATGTTAAGACTTTCACATCAGTGTTTGGTTCAAAGAAGAGTTGATGCTTATGTCACTGCGAATGAGCCAGCGGTGAGGAAAAATTGTTTTTAGCAGTAAAAAATATAGGTTTTAAAAACTCATTTTAATTAAGTACATACAACTATTAACCCTCTGATATTATGCACATAGAAAACAACTCCAGGACTGAAAGCTTTCCTGCAAAGCTAATTAATTTTTCTATGTTATTACATAGGGAAACAGATGTATGAAAGAGAAATATCCTCAAACATTTTTTATCTTGAGAAAGTATCAAATAAATATTTTAATCTATGTAATTTATATAATCACTTAATAAAGGAAAAACAATTTTTTAAAAAAAGTAACAGAACAATTGACGTTTGAAAATATACAACTGAATGTAAACCTACTGAGTATTTAAAAAATTAAACAGTTTCTAGATAAATAGTTCATAAGCAACTGGCATTACATGTGACATAAGCAATTTCTCTTGAATATAAGTGTGCAAATACACACAAATGACCAAGTGTAAACATGTCATTGTTAAGAAATATTAACTGCTACACACACACACATATATATATGAGTAGTAACTAACATGTTTACAAATGAACATTTTTAAGAATGTATTTTAGTTAAGAATGTCAGGGTTTGGAAAAAAATTTTTTGGAGCATCTGTCTGCCAAGGTTTTAAGAAAATCAGAAGATGATCTCCCATTTCTTTAATCTCTGTATTTTGTGATGCCTGAATTCGTAGCATAACATCAATTTCCAAATAACCTGCAAAAAAACAACTTTCTATTCAACCATTCAAAAAAAATAATAATCTTTAAATATCACATAATACACAACAGCTAAGTCTAAACATATCTATTTATGAAAAGAATTAAGCTAATTCTTTAGATTTTTGATAATTCAGTCTGCTTTACATGCATAAAGTAAAATTTTAATAAGCTAAATACGTGCATAGAATTAAAACCGCTTTGTAAGCAAGTTTTACCAAAAAATTTAATAACAATAAAAACCACTCTGGACGCAGATAACACATGCTTTAAGAATAGTAGTTTTATTCTTCGGAATTTTTTTAAAGTATTAATATTTTTTTGAAAATTAACAAGTTAAAATAAGCTTTCAGAACACACATCTTACAGAAGAGAAGCCCCAAACTTTTTATTACAAGTTTTTTATTTACTAGAGTTTTGCATTGTCAATTATTCTTATATTGATCTTATATGTACAGTGGACAAAATAAAATAGACCACCCAGAATAACTTATCGAATCTTCACATCTAGGACTTAATCTTAATGGTTCAAAGGGGTGACCTCAAACATTTTAATTAATTAGTGTAGATACTGTAAGCTAAGAAATCAAGACAAAAAAAATTTACTTCCTCTGAATAAACATATTCTTTTTCAACAGATTCGGATTTCCGACCTTCAAAACATAGGGGATAGCCACAAACTGTGAAATATGGTCCCCATAGTTTGGTCAGAAGTGCAGTCCAAAATTTGGATCCCTTAACGATATGGTGTTTTTTTTGCGTATTTCGCTCATCTCTATAAATTTTAAGCAATTCAAAATTTTTTCACACACAATTGTAAAATTCGTTTAACTAAAGGTAATTCCTTAGTAAATATTAGTATGTAACTTTCAGTAAATATATCTTATTATTTTATTTACTAATAGTCGATAACATTAAAAGTCTTTTTTTAAAGAACTTTTTAATGAATAGGTATTTTTAATCCCAACTTGCTCAGAGAATTAATATTTTATCAGATTTATTTTATAAAAAAAAACTGGAAGCAGTAAGATTAGATTTCAACTATATTTTACAAAAAAAATATTTTCAACCAAGAGAGACACATAACATGAAAAATTACTTAAAAACTAATGTTACTAAAAGGTGATAAATTTAAAATGCAATAGATGTGGGTAATCTTGTATAAACTTGATTATGAAAAATCAAGGAATATTATTTTTAGAAACCTAAATCAGATAATACCTAAATTATCTTTAGTATAAAAACTTATTCTCTTTAAATCAAAAATATTAAGAATCAATAGTTGATTATAATGTAATAACTATGTAGTATTTTTAAAAAACGATTAATTTTATGCAATCAATTTGAAGTACATTTATAAGCTTCACATACCATAAGCATTTGGATGAAATTCAAAAAATTGATAGAACTGCAACTCATCACACATATATAGACTTGGAGGTTCATCATCGAATGGAACTTCACCCTGTAATAGGCAAAAACAACCCTTATTTAAAACTCGATTATGTACTAGCATTTGGTTTATAGAATATGAGCTTACACTAATATTGCAATTTATTCATATGATACATTAAAGTTTCAAGCAATGCACGTACAGTGTTCCCTCGCCACTTGGCGTTTTTGCAGCTTCAGTGCTTTGCAAGTTTTTCTAAAATATTCATCAAAAAAAAAAAAAAAAAAAAAAAAAAAAAAAAAAAAAAATTAAAAAANAGCTCATTAAAAAAAAAAAAAAAAAAAAAAAAAAAAAAAAAACCAACAACTATGTCGGCAGCCACATTGCGGAAAGGAGCGTTGGAGCGTTGTTTCATGTGATGAGCAAGAGAGAAGGATCCCTGCATGTCAAACAAAGAGATGAGTTGACTCAGAGTACATATACATTGAGCTCTCATAAAGGCACGCGATTGGTTTCCGGTGCTACATCGACCAATGAGAGTACGAGTGGATTTATCCCTGTGAGTTGATTGACTGTGCATCATAGCATAGGTGAGGCACCTAGCATCTTCTCTTGTTGTATCACGCCATTCTTGTCTATGTTGAATATCTCGCATGCTGTATTTTAGTGTTGTGTTGGCAATATGAGTCAAGTGAGAGACTCTTCGCCTCTATCAGAAAGCAATGTTGATTAATGTTTATTACTGTATAAGGTTTAGTAATTAATTAGCACTGACACGTTTAAGTAAATACGTATACCGTCGTAATTTTTGTCCTAAATGTGTAAAGTATAAATACTGTTTACATATTTAAAACATTCGTGTACCCGCATATCCGAAAATTACTAGGGGCAAATACTACTTTGCGGTTTTTCAGCTTTTGCGGAAGGTTTTGGTCCCCATTAATAGTGAAAAACGAGGGATCACTGTATTTTAAACAATCATATAAGCCTAATCATTATGCATAGTTAAAATTGCAGGTATTTCTCAAAGTTAACATCATTTGAGCTATACAATAATGCATTGGATCTATTGTCGTCTATTACAAAATATGAAAGTACACAACATACTAAAAACATAACTCATTAACATGCACCAAGAATATTATTTTTTCATTGTTCTCGCCTAATCAATGCAATTGTTAACATTCTATTTCTTAAGATTTTTAAAGCTTAATAGGTAGGATAAAAGATATGGAAGCAACACTAAATAATGATATACTTCAAAGGTTATAGACTTAAGACAGGTTTGTGAAATATTAGACAGATTTCAAAATCAATGTATTAAATTTGTCAAAACACAGGCAATTATTCTGAAGTTCAAATAAAAATTAAACTTTTTAATTTTGTAAGTGGTTTAATTTGGAAATTCATCAAAGAAAATAATGACTTAAATGTATAGAATTTGCTTAGTTTTATATTTTTCAATAAATAATAACAAAAACATAAAATAATAATAATTAGATTTTTTTTTAAGTTATTTAAATTGGATTTTGAAAGTTCTCATTACCATTTGTTTAAGAGTCAACACAGCATTTTCACCCAAATTAATTTCTTCACTCAACTTATAATATTTCAGTGATCTTTCATCTGTTTTACCTATAAAAATAATAAATAAATAAAATCAGTAAATAAAAAATTGCCAGTACTTATTTAAAAAGAAATTACCATTTTTTCCATTTTCACAGCCAGCAGGTAAATCTACAGAAGACATTAACTCGTTTAACTTTGAATCCCAAACAGCATCAGACACATTACTTTCACCCCAGTTAGAATCAGAAACATCCAACTCTGGAAAAAGTTCATCAGAAGTAGGAGGAATATCACTTGCATTATCTAAAATGAAACAAATATGAGTAATTGATTAAATAAATAAAAAAAGTATCAAACTTTCAGTAACTAAAACTAAACAGTTGAACAGACAGTTTTTGGCAAACTGATACTAGACATTTTTTATGAGAAAAGAAGAAAATTTTATTAATATGAGAACAAGAAGATTTTTATTATGAAACTAATAGTTTATGGATCCTTAGTGGTTTAGGGAGCTACCTCAAATATGCTAATTAATCGGTGAAGACGACATTTTAAGTTACAAAATCAAAAAAAAGACATACTTTCGCTGGATAAACATAACTTTTTTTTCTTTACTCTACTATCTTGAATATATCAGGGATGAGAGTAGTTGGAAAGTAAAAAAAGAGGAAATTCAAGAATAAATGAATCTATACACTGAGTGGCCAAATTATTATGACCACCCCTTCAGTCGTCTGCTTCCATACCCTATACGGCGCAATGTGCGTCGAACAGTACGTTCAGAGACATTCACAGTTGCTCCTTGATTAAGATCACTTGCAATTTGTCGCACTGTTGCTCTCCTGTTGCGCTGCACAACCCTGGCCAGCCTTCTCTCTGATCAAGCATTCAGTACCCTGTGACGACCACAAGTCTGACGTTGAGATCCGGTTTTTTGCTTGATTGTCCATTCTTTGTACACATTAACAACTGCTGCTCTAGAACACTTCACAAGTGCAGCCCTTTTGTTATGCTCGTTCCGACGCATCTCGCACCCACAATCATTCCACGTTGAAATTCAGTTAAATCACTTTTCTTTCCCATATCTGAGCAAGCAACACAGTATAACTGATGACTCACTTGTCCAGCATTCCCGTGTTATGGTTATCTTGCCCTCTAGCGGCAACGCTGTGACGCAATAACTCATTTGCATAAAACTCTGAGGTGGTCATAATAATTTGGCCACTCAGTGTATATACAGAAATTTGACAAAAAAGTGCAATTTTTAAACTTGTAAACCATGTGATTATAAATCCCGATGATTAATTTTAAAATTGCATGAATATATAAATATGAATCACATGCATGATTTTAAATTAAGAGAATATGAATCCCGAAATGAGGCTTTTTAAATCACGTGAATATGAAACTCTATATTGAATTTAAAAAATGCGAAAATACAAATCATGATGCGTAATTTTTAGATCACGTAAATACGAATCACGATGCGTAATTTTTAAATAGCGCGAATACGAATCCCACTGTCTAATTTTTAAAGCACGTATAAATAGGAAAATTGATGTTTGACATTACAACCGCAAAAACGAATCACGACATTGGATTTTAAGCTCGTGTGAATACAAATCGCTACATAGTGTTTTAAAAGTGCGTAATTTCAAATCGCGATATTGGATTCGTAAATAAGAATCGCAATGAACGACATTTAAATCGCCTGATTAAGAATCGCAACATTCAACTTTTAAATCAGGTAAATATGAAAATCAATGTTTGAGGGAGGAATGAGGACTTCAATACTTTCGCTTTGTGGAAAATTTAATTTCTCATAAAATATTTGCAAAAAAAATTTTCAGCGGAAATTAGCGGGAAAAATGGAAAAATCTGAAGAAAAAATCAGAAATCCGCGAATGCACGGAAGAATCACGTCCCTGATATATGATCCTAATAGTTAGGTCAAAAGAGAGATTGAAAGCATGTCCCCTTAATGTTAATTTCACTTTTTAAGTATTTTGTCACATCTCGAAAACTTGAGTGAATCAAAAATTTTTTGCACACAATTATAAAATTCCTTTGTCTGAAGATAATTCTTTGTATATTTAAAATTTGATTTCTCAGGAAAGATTAGACCAATTTTTTTTTAAATTTAGTTATTTGTCATATGAAAGAACATTTTTTATTTGCTCAAAATATACAAAAAGTAAAATTAACACTAAGGTGCCCACATTTCAACTTCTCCCTTGATCGAATTACGGGAACCATATTTCCCAGATTATGACTATTCTTCTGGGTCAGGAATCCAAATGCGAAGAAAAAAAAGGTGTTTTATAGAAAATATGTTTTTGTACCCATAACATAAAATATCATCTGCACTAACTATTTAGCATATTTGAGATCATTCCAGTGGACCATTAAGATTGAGTCCTAGTACATGAAGATACAATCACTAGATCAAGAGTTATTGATAAAGTTTTCTTTTATTTTTATGGAACACTATATAGAACATAGATTTATGAATCAAGGATGCAATTTTTTTCTTATTTGATATAATTGACTAAAATCTTGCAATATGCAATTGAATTGTTTTAAAAGTATAATTAAAAAATATGTTAGCAAGCTAATATTTGTTTTAAGATTTTCAATTAAAAAAAAAATATTACACAATTTTAACCTGTTTTTTTATCATGTTACAAAATCTAATTAAAACTGATTTAGAACTTACTTATATTTATGCTGAAATTGTGTCCTTTAACTAAATTAGAATAGGTAGCAAAAACAAGATATGCGAATATAATGATGTTGTATAACCTTCATGTATTTTTTTTTTTTTTTAAATTTATGGACTACCAGTTAAAATTGTCAGAGTTACTATTTTTAAAAATGACTTCTATAAATTAATCATATAAAAATAAAGAGAGCAATAATATACTTACTTAGCATCATAAAGTGTTGGTCATTTGTCACAATGTCAGTGTTAGCATCAAACGTTATATTAGGAATCGCATAATCTTCAACAACATTTTGAAAGTTTGCCTTAAATATCTCAGATACTCGATCTGCAGACTCATTTTGTATATTTGCTTCAGGAATTGAACCATTAATGTTAAAGGCTTGAGATATTAATTTATCATGCATGTCAGCTTGACATGTAATGTTATTAAATGAATAGAGTTCTTGATACAAAGGCAAATTTTGAGATGCCTCCAATTCTAGAATCATAGGTTCATCCTCATTATTTCCTTCAGTCAAGGAATTCAATGTTCCATAGTTTTGAATAAAAAGCACATTAAGCATGTTTGCGTCATGTGTTGTATCAGATATTCCCCATTGTTGATTCAAATATGCAACATTATGATCGTAATTTAATTCACCAAAATTACCATTGATGCTAGGATTCAAGCCAACAAAAGGCATTGGTGAATCGATTTCGCTTTCATAATCAGAACAGTTGTAATTATTAGATCTTATTCCACTATCCGGTTGATCAGTAGATAGAGGTGATTCAATAGAACTGCCATAACCTACTGAGTTAGGAGTCTGAGGAGATCTTATTCCACTATCCGGTTGATAAGTAGATAGAGGTGACTCAATAGAACTGCCATACCCTTCTGAGTTAGGAGTCTTAGATCTAATTTCTCCATCTGGTTGATGAGAAGATTGAGGTGATTCCAGAGAACTAGTACCATAAACTTCTGAGTTAGGAGTCAGAGGTAAATTATTTGATTTTTTGATACTTTTCTTAACAGCATCTTTCTTCCGCTTCTCTGAAAGAAGAAAAAAGTTTTTGCAACAACCACTCAAAGTTACAAACTAAATGTCTGCATATGAAAGATGACGTAAAATAATTTTAATAAACATTTCAATTTTTAATAGAGCTACAATAAATGAAGCAGTGAGAAAAATTATATCTTTCTAAGTAACTCAACCTAAAGGGCAAAATTTAATGTACTTACAATATTCATGTTTCCAAAGGCATTACCTACCCATAGGCCATATGTTAACTAAAGTATAAATTACTAATTTATAAAACTTTTTTTTAAAAATTCTCTCAATGAACTCATGATTCAGCACCATTTAAAAATTATTGCAAAAAACTATGTGATTGGAGAACAATTTAAGGTACCTTACACAAGATGGCTAACTTGTCGAAAAACTTCAGCACAGGCGCAGAATGATTTTTTCAAACTGATATATTTGATTTAATTAATTATAACTTACAATTTAATTTAAGGAAACATAAATTTTAAATTTGGAAGATATATTTCATCAAAGACTAAAATCAAAATCAAATATGCTAAACTAAAAGGTTTATCCATCCATCAAATACAAGAACTGTGAAAATACATATACAAGAACAAAATAAATTATTAATGATATTTATTTCATCTGGCTGTTTGAAAAGCAGGCAAAAATAATGTATATATATATGATGATGATAGCAGCCATGGTGGAATGTTCAGGAATGCAGACAAACAGTTGGAAGGAAAATGATATTTATTTAAATCATTTTAAAGAGATGACAGAGCTTCACATCATCTATTTAAATCATTTTCAAGCATTGGCGGTGCACAAATCGCACTCCGAAATTTGTGTGCTTTAGTTTTTATCCCAGGGAAAGTAGCATAAGTTTTTCCTTATATTCTATTAGGTCTCAAAGAAAAATGGAAACATTAATAATTATAATTAGTCTATTAAATAGGTCATGGGTAGGACTGGGCTATAAATCGATGCATCGCGACATATCGATTTAACGCCTATATCAGCAAGTCGATACAGCGACTTTTGTCCCAGGCGATGCATCAGATATCTGATGCATCAGAAATCTGATTTAAGTCTTCGAAGAAAGACGATTAAGACCGCAAGGATCTTCCCTTACGTTCTGATGCCGACTTGGGGTGTTCGTTTCGTTATGTTGAACTGGCCTTGATTGATTAGCGGTAGAATCAGAACCAGAGTTTTGAGAATACTATATCGTGATCTTGCATGTTCGTTTCGCACCTCTTAGGTTTTTTTTTAAAACTTTGTCGCGACTTGATATCATTTCTTGTAGATTATTTTCAGTGGGACTAACTTCGTGATCGCTGCCGTTGCTTTGTTCTGAACACAATCTATTATTGAAAAGAATTTATAAAGAGTTTCGTCATTAATTAGGTTTTTTTTTTTTCAACAAAACTTTTTCTTACTTTTAAATGTGAAAATTATCAGAAATCTAATTTAAGGCGCCCATAAAGAATTAAGTTACAAAGTAATTAAATTTGCTAGTTTTTTTTCTTTTCTTTTAATTTATTAAAAACTTTAGGATAAAACTTCTGATAACTTAATGGGTTTTTATTACTGATTTTAAATTTATAAATCTTGAGTTGCTTTTATTTTTAGAAATAAAGTTAAAACAAAACTTATTTTTTGTCATTTGGATTTGGACATAAGTCAATCAACTTCGTTTGTTCAAAAAAATTTGAAAGGTTTGCCAATTTTATTCATTTTTTTCGTTTTATTAGAGAGTACAATCAGTTTTTTAAAATTTTCTTTTAATATTATTAGTTAATTAGCTAAATATATTATCGAATATCACAATTCTTTTGTTTTTATTTTTAAGAAATTAAACCTTACTTTGTTTTTCGTTCATAATTCGGTCATTATTCAATTTAATGTAATTATTTATGTGAAATAATAATAATAAAAAATAGTGATTTGAAAGCGTTTTATTATTATTATTTTTTTTTAAAATTTATTTAGCACTTTGTTTTGAACATACAATTAATTTTTAACGAACTTATTTTTTAAATTTTCTTTCTATATTGTTAGGTAAATATATTGATAAATTTCTATTTTATTTATTTTTTTATTATTTATTTTTAAATTAAGAAATCTTTCATTATTTGCGTGATCATTTTTAGAAAAATAACAAAACTTGCATTTACTTTTTCATTTAGAATTTGAACATTACAATCGAACTTAATAATTATGTAATTATGAAAGTTATTTTTATATGGCTCATTTAGTAAAATTATTTTTAATTTCTTTAAACTTTCTTTTTTCAAAATTTCATTCGCTTAAACTAATTGATTTTCAAATAATTCATAAACTTATCGTTTTAAAATTTCTTTTATTTCTAGTTAAAAGCTTAGTAAAGTTACCTAATTACCTAAATTAATGAATAATTTAATTAAATTATAATTTAGGTAATTAGGCACTTAATTAGACTGCTAATACTTTATAAACGATAAAGAGGTGCAAATATTTCATTCTGTATCTACACATTTTTTCAATAAATATTTTAAATAAGTTTTGTGCATAGTAGACAATTTATTTAATATCTTTCTTAAGCAAAATATATATATCTTCAAACTTATAAATTGATTTAAATCAATTTGAGTATGGAGTTTCGATAGAAATCTGACTTTCTGTGCTTTACAAGTAAATGAAATTCAAAAATAGGTACTATATCGCGATGCAAAACTGACGATGCATCACGAAATATAATTTCTAATATCACCCAGTCCTAGTTATGGGAAATATTTTTCTCACGTTTAGTTACAGGGAAAAATGTCTAACTGTTAATTAATGCATATTTGATCTAAAAATAGATTAAAAGACGGGATGTGAATTTTAAAGTGTGAGAAAGAGCATTTCGATTTGAACAATAAATTAAGAAAAAGATTTGTAGAAAAGGAACAACATAAAAAGATTAGTTGAAGCTTTTTATGTTACCCCAAAATTTTTTAATTGCCATCTAAAATTTTAAGAAACTATCTGTTTGCAAAACTTTACCTATGATAGAAGCACAATTAAAATGAAAAGAATAAAATTTGTAATTTTAACATACAATCAATATATAAAAATAATATGAATTACAAAAATACTTATATAAACAAGATAAAAATTTAACACAATGTTACTAATTTAACAGATAATTCGCAGCAAAAATTGTTTAGGTCTACTTTAAAAAAAAAAAAAAAACTTTTAATAGTTTCTTTGACTCTTTGTCAGTTCAGTTCAAAGTTATGTTTATATTTCTAGAGGACAGTTTTTCTCCAATAAAAACTGTTCGCCCATACAATTTTCAACTCTTTCATTTAAAATTGTAAACTTGCACATACATTTAAAAAATGCAAATATTTAAAAACATGATAATAAAAATACAAGTTGACATATTGTTACAGGAAAAATTTCAATTTGACTTCAGTATTGTATACTTAGTCAGCAACAAAATTTTTAAAAAAATGATACAGTGGTCGTTGTTCTGAAGTTTCAGACACCAGTATTTTTATTTTAATGAAAAAATGATACTTTGGTCGTTATTCTTCAGTATTACTAGGAGCATTTTTGCTGGATAAGGGGCTGTATTCCCTAAAATGAGGAAAACAGTCCCAAATCTCAACAGTGTTGCACTGGAAGATACTAGTTTCAAATAAATATAAGCACTGTTTTAAATTTTTTTTAAAAATCTATTTCTGGTTTTGACCACAAACAGCAAATACTTGAAGTTTTTTTCTCCAAATTTATCTATTTAACAAATGTTAAATCTGTTTAACAAGATTCTGTTTTACTCTGTTTCTTCAAATCAACTTGTTTTTAAATTTTTCTTTTAGTTATAAAATTTATATATAACATTTTTATAATTTACGAGATTCATCCTCTTTAACTTTCAGTTTCTCATTAGTTGTAATAAACGTTTAATATATTTTGTAAAACCCTATCTTTAGTTAGATTACCATTTTATGAAGGAGTTTTCAATCTTTTGTTGCTTTCAGTGATTAATCCATTTAATAGTGTTACTTGTTCTCTCACATTTTTCTTCAAATATTTAAACTTTTCTTTTTCCAGGTGAACAATTTATTTATTTTTTTGTTCATCTAGAAGGCTTTATTCTATTACCATTTTATTTCTTAATCAGCTTCTCTTTACTTACAGTTTTACCAAGTTTTTAAAATATAGCTTTTAGCTCCTAGACAATTTCTCCAGTGAAAGTCCATTGTCTTCTAATCAAGGAGATAAGTGCCTCATCCTTATGGTTCAGAAGTTTGGGAAGGTGGCAAAAGTAATATTTTAAATACTCATTAAAGCTTCCTTCAATGGCAAAGTAGTCCTGGTTTGCGGTTAATAAAACAATTTTAGTTAAAAACATTCAGCAGTAAAACATTATCTAAAAAGTAAGTCAATTGTCTTTATCCATTTGGTGGAAAAAAATCTAATTAAGGAGACAAATGTTTCATTTAATTGCTTTAGAAAATTTGAGAAGGTAGCAAAAGTAATATTATTTTAAATACTTATTACAGTCTCCTTAAGTGACAAAGTTGCTCTGGTTTTGGGTGAATAAAAATTTCTTAATTGAAGAACATTCAACAGCAAAACATTATCTGTAAATTAGTCAATTTAATTCGAAATTAATGGAAAATACTGAAATGTAAGTCTAATATGTAAAAAAAATTTGATCAGCTTCACAGTAAAAAGAATATGAAGAAAATGACTTAATAAACAGGAGCAGGCAAAAATATGATTTATTATTGCTCAGAAAAAGTTTTGAAACATATTCAAGAAAACTGGATGATACTTACCTTCACTTTCTTCAGAAGACAAGATTTTATATTGGCGATAATTTTCACCATTAATCTTCATTTCAGATCCAGGATCAACATAAAATGATTTATTTAAAGAACCCAATACAGAATGCTTTGTATCAGAATAAACAGTATCTGTAATACATCTTCCTTTTTTCTTTTTCCAATTCTGAAAAGAAACGGCAAAACAAATATTTATAAACGTCTGCTGATGTTCGGAATTTTTTTTATTTTTATTAATCAAAAAATGGAAAAATGTTTAATTTCTTTAAATTAATAAAAATGCTACAATTTACGAATAGACGCTCAAAGAACAATTCAAAGTTTAATTAACCCAAATTGAATTTTAGAATGCAGAATTTTGACAATCATTTAAAAAAAAAAAAAAATTCTTTCAACTATCCTAAATTGATTATTAGAGATGGTAAGGGTGAATATTAGATGAAGATCCAATGTCTGCTCTTTTAGTGATTATTGAGTGTAGTGGTATAATTATGTCTCATTTTTTGTCACATAAGATCCACCCATTTATTTCGCTTCACAAATAGTTTTCAGAACATAGTTTATAAAAGTAGTTTAGAGCATAACCAGCTTGAAATCAAAAACTGGTATCATACAAATTTAGGCCTGCAAGTTTCATTTTTACCACATATATAAGGCACATTTTAGATGGGTTAAAACTATACTTTATTACTGAACTATTAAGTGAAGATATGAAATCAATATGTCAAAACAAGTCACGACACAGCAGCTTTTTTATTGCTTGGGTTAATTTCGTTAAGGTTAAATTTTTAAGCATTGGGGTCCAGTAACTCAAGCTTTGAGTAAGATTTTGGTAGCAGTAAAATTTAATTTTCATCACACAATATATATATATATATAGGAACATTTTCAAAATTATAAAAAGTGTTAAAAAACAAATCTAAAAAGTGATCAGATTAATTTCTTTTTAAAAATTATTCTGTTAAAACTTTACTTTAATTCTGCACACTCATAGGATGCAAAAGAAAATCTTGATAATTTTTCTAAAATTAATATTGAAAACTTTTTAGAATACTTTGACTATTCAAGTTTATAGTAGAATTTTACATTCAGCTAAGTTTTCATCTCATTATACACACTTACGTCCGTATTCACCAACACAGATTACCTCCGGGTAATCTATGAGGAAGAGTAAAATCACGAATTTAGTGCTAAACGTTATTCTCCAGCCGAAATTTCGCCAAACTCGCAGATTTCATCAACAGTTCTGACTCTCCAGGTAACCCTCCGTTTTTGCCGTGTTATCGGAGGGTAACCTATTGACGAGGAGCTTGTAAACAAAAAAGATGGAGGATTCTATCGCTGTGTTTGAGCTTGAAGATCTTGAATTTGATGAAACTGTTGAAAGAAGGGAAAGATATGTCCCAACTATCAGAAATAATGACCTAAGAAGAGTTAAATGAAATAGACTTTCTTTTGAAAGGTATCGTTTCTTATAACCTCTCCACTTAAATTAGCGATACTCACGCTAATTTGTTTATGCACGTGTTTATATTATATACAAAGTCACATGGTTTTACCATGCCCAATCAAAGGCCTCGTTATATTTCCTGCAAGAGTTAAACTCTGGTTGTGAAATCCTCTGTTGAAAACGGTTGGAGAATAAAAAGCGAGGGCTAATCCAAGAGTAACTCTGAACCGTGGATATTCCGATCCCCGAGTTACTCTTGAATTTAACTCAGCGTGGTGAATACGGGTGTTAACGGATCAGTCATAAACAAGCACAATTTCGGCACAAATTTGAAGAACAGTTTTCTCAATGGTAAATTATAGTGCAAAACATTGCCAATAATGCCTTATGCTATTTTTAGATTGACAGGTGTCTCTTGAAACTTTATTTTACAGTTGTTCAATACAATTAGTTAAGATATTTCTTTTTATAGATATTTCAGTCTAGTTAGCTCATTTTGAAAACTCCAGTGCTATTTTAAGCTCCTGCATGGTCTTATACATCATCATTATCAACGGCTTGACAGCCCAAGGTGGGCTTTGGCCTTTTCAAGAAGTTTTTTCCAGGCTAATCTTTTTTTTTGCTAGTGTTCTCCAATTTTTTGTATATAAGACCAAAAGGTCTTTCTCTAGGCCATCTATCCACCTCAAATTCGGCCTGCCTCTTTTTCGTGTGCCAACTGGTCTTATACAAACTACCAAAAATATAATAATAATAACTTTAAAACTTAAGTAACTAAAAAAAAAATTTGCATTTGTCAGAGTTGATTTTTTTATAACACTTTTCAAGTCATTGTGGAGCTTGAATAGTATATTTTACCATCAATAACGATGTTTAATAAATACATGAAATTTAATTTTATCTCTCGTTTTGAAAATTGTCTCAACTTCTTATTTTGAGATGAAACTTTTTAATTCAAATCCTCAATAAATAATGGTCAGAATGAAACTTTTGAAAAGTGACTGGAAGTACAATCCAATACGCTTATAGTTTTGTTTTAAATGACAATCTCTGTTGACAATTCTTTAGCATTTTAATACATATGCAACTGAAACAAGATAAAGATTTAATTTTCTTTCTTTAAAAAAAAAAGGCTTATGTCAGAAAATATGGTAATTAAACTTTACTTATTGTAAAAGAAACATAAAACCTGTTTTAGAATCCCAATATTTAGAAAAAAGATAAAATATTCAACTCTTTAAAACAAAAATATGAATAAAGAAGACAGATTATGTTATTATTCAAAAATTGAGATAACATTATTTAGAATTAAGGAAATGCAACTATACTCCATTTCACCTCAAGTTGGCACTGGAGAAGGCAGGTAGACCAAATAGCAGCTATTGTCATGGAAATTGGGTTAATATTTAAGTTGGTTGGGAGATGAGGTAGCAAAAATAGCAGAGAAAGTGACCAATATTGACATTAAAGAAAACCAAGCGCTGATTTTTTTTCTCCTACCAAGAATTTTTCTGACATTTTGAACAAAATACAGAAAAGAACAAGAATTTTTTAGGACATTTAAAAGTAGGCTGATTTCTAGTGATTTATAAAAAACAGATTTTTCCTATTAATATTTTTTAATTAAATTAAACTAATTTTAAACAAAACAAAATTATATTTAAAAAGACAATTTTTTATTAATAAATTTAAAATAGTAAGGATTCAATTTTTGTGTCTTCTGTGAAATTATTTCAATTCCTATACATTTTAGTAGTTTATAACGAAAAGATTTGCATACTTATATTATGGCATCATAGAATTTGAATTTCAGATGAAATTAAAAAGACCCTTTAATAAAACAAAAATAAAAATCTTAAAATTCCAGAAACACATGATAAAAGTTCCTGTAAAAAAAGCGAATTATGACTTTTATTTCTAAGCTACACATGGCACAGGAGACACAAAATTTGATCATTGCAGAGATTTAAAAAGGTGAAAATTTTTTATTTTTACTTTTGTTGTTAAAAAAAAATCACGCGTTGAAACAGCCAAACAGCAATATAACATAATGATATTCACCTGTTTATTTTTAACTTTTTTCATGAAAACTTCAACATCTTTGTCTTTGATAGTTTTGTCGCTGACATTCTTAAAATATTTAAATAAAAAAAATAAGTAGAGAATTTAATGCCTATTAAAATTACTAATTAACAAAAAAAAGAAAGCTAAAAATTAATAACTCACAAAAGAAAAACTATCAATTAATAAGTAATGAAATAATACTAGCTAACAATTAAAATATGCTATACAATAGCTATGAAAACAAACTAACAAACGATAACTAACAAAAAACAAGCTAACAGTTAGTAATTATATTAAAAAAAAGCTAACAAGGGATTAGAAAAAAATTAACAATCAATAACTATCAAATTTCAAGCTAAAAATTAACAACTAGCAAAAAAAATTACTATTTAATAACTAATCAAAAACAAAACAAAAAAACAATTATGCGATGTGAGGTTAAGAGAGCGAAATCCATCCATGAGAGATAAGACTCTACAAGAGATAGGACACTACAAGAGAAGCAAAGGCGAGTAGACTCATAAGAGCCAGCTGACTAGTGCAAAAACATAGCCGAAGTACTCATTCTTTGACCTCTGAAACTAATTCATTGCCGAACTAAAACACCTCCTTCGTTGAACATTCATTTTTCTGGAAAGTCATTCATAGGTTGAATACATTTAAATATGAAAAAATTTCAACTACATGTTCTAAGAAATTTCTTATTATACAAAATTTATTTATATTTGTAGGCACATTTAAACTGGAATTAATTCCAAAATAACAAAGAACTTCTTTTTATTACATTCCCTACCTTTCCCTGTAACTTGAGCCAACTTGAGGTGCAACAAAGTATAAATACAATCAAATTTTTTAATAATTAAAGTTATCAAAGTATTTTTGATTTTTTTTAATTAAAATAAAAAAATTATACTCATTATTCACTTACTATAAGCATTCGATTACAATTAGCACACACAATTTTAGTTTTTCGAGGCAAATGGATTCGTAAATTTTTTTCATTGGCATCATGCACTACACAGGATCCATACATGTTAGATTGACTTCCTTCAATTAAGAAAGGAATAATCACCGATCCTTTTCTGCCCATTTTTCAAAACTAAAAAATTTCCTAAAATATAAATCACGAAGTATTAGTATCAAACACAAAAAAGTACAAATTCATATTCATACAAAATATTAGTAAGAAATTATTGTTTATACAATACATTATAATTTTTATATATGCAGTAAAACCAGTCAAGTTAATCTCCATTTTAAATTGACTAAACTATATTATCAAATGCTGAGTTTATTCCTATCATTATTATAATTTAACCTGACCACCTGTCTAGCTTGTATAATAACAGCCGATATAAGTCAAACTTATTGAGAAATGCCATTGAATGCTATCTTAAACTTCATAAATTGACCATAAATTTTTTTTCCAGGAAATGCTTTAATGTTTTATATTAGAATTTCACAAAATTTCTAAAATAATATTAAAAGTTAACTTAAATAATTTTGGGAGTTGATCATTTATTGGGAAAACGGCTATGGGCTTTTGTAACAAATAGGTTCATATGTCAATAAATAGGTTCATATGTCATATAATAAAATAATCTTATAATTATTTTAAAATTTTAAGAAATTATTTAGAATAGTTACATGGCATTTATCACTATCAAAATTTGCATATTTGTTTTCTCATTTCTAAAAAATTTTAAAAATTACATTTATCATCAGGGGTCTGTCCAGGCCGAATTTACTACCGTTTAGCGGTACCTTCACAAATTCAACTTTAGGAAAAACGGTAGTTTCACAAATTCAATTTTAAGAAAAACGGTAGTTTCACAAAATACTTTTTCTTAAAATTTTATTTTTGTATCCCTTAAGAAACGATAAATCCACATTTTTACCATATTTTTTTGTTGATTTTTAAATATAACTTTTAATTTTTCACAAATTATGTCTAAATTTTCACAAAATAGGTACCTCTCAGAAAAGCCTAGACAGACCCCTGATCATTATATTGGTTATATTAAATAAATAAAACCAGGGGTCTGTCTAGGTTTTTTGGAGAGATACCTATTTCGTGAAAAATTAGACATAATTTGTGAAAAATTATAAATTATATTAAAAAAATCAACACGAAAATATGGATTTATCGTTTCTAAAGGGATACAAAATTAAAATTTTAAGAAAAAGTATATTGTGAAACTACCGTTTTTCCTAAAGTTGAATTTGTGAAGGTACCGCTAAACGGTAGTGAATTCAGCCAGGACAGACCTCTGAAAACATAGCACTGATAAGATAAAAGAAATATATGAATGACATGAACAATGGGAATAAAAAGATATTTTTAAAGATAGCATATTAAAAATGAAAGAAAGAAACAAAGACTCAGTCGTCAAAAACTTGCTTATTAATAAGACTTCATGACTATGCTTCAAATGCACCATAATTGATCAACTTGCATAGGTTTCACTGTACTGCACATATAATACAACAGTGGACATAAATTTATAAATTTCAGTGAGAAAATTTTGAAGGTGACACTAAATTGTAAATATTACAAATGTGGAAACCAGTTTAAGTTATAAACTTTTAAATAAGTTATCATTATTTGTTTATAAAAATCAATATAAAAATAATTTAAACTTATTCATAAAAACTGTATTCTTATTAAATTTTTACAGACATTGCATAACTTAATATTCAACAATGCGTGTGTAACTTAAAATCTTTGGCATGGAATTTAAGCGTACTTGCTAATCAATTGAGAAATAGTCTTGGTTGCGTTCAACCAACATCCAAATTAGATACCAATTCGATGATAGTAATTATAGATCCAATTTCTTTTTATAATTAGATAGGTACACTAGGACTTAGTGTTACTTGAATCTAACTAATAAGGTGAAGTAATTTTTTTTAACAAGCTTCATCTAAAAATGACTAGACAATAATTAAGTTAGATTGAATTATTTTGAGGATCTAAATTGTTTAGTTTTAAAAATAATTATACGATTTCTCTATCTGTTAACTTTAAATGCTAGTGATTGATATTTTTTAAGTGTAACATTAACACTCTTTTCTTCTTCTTCATTTTGTCCAAGGAAAATCAATTTTGATCTCTCAATTTATTCAATAAGAAAATAGTAACAAGATTTATTCCATATTAGTTTACTATACAATTATTTTATTTCCTAATGNCCCAGTTTAGGACAGTTTTACCCAGTTTAAGACAGTAAAACCCACGTGTCCTGTCCAAAACCACTTTATGACGTCCAAAACCCCAACCCTGCTCCTATTATTATAATTTAACCTGACCACCTGTCTAGCTTGTACAATAACAGCTGATATAAGTCAAACTTATTGATAAATGCCATTGAATACTCTTTTAAACTTCATAAATTGACCATAATTTTTTTTTTCAGGAAATGCTTTATTGTTTTATATTAGAATTTTACAAAATTTCTAAAATAATATTAAAAGTTAACTTAAGTAACTTTGGGAGTTGATCATCTAACTGGAAAACGGTTAAGGGCTTTTGTAACAAATAGGTTTGTATGTCACCTTATAATTATTTTAACATTTTAAGAAATTATTTAAAATAGTTACATGGCATTTATCACTATCAAAATTTGCATATTTGCTTTCTAATTTCTAAAAATTTTAAAAATTACATTTGTCATTATATTGGTTACATTAAATAGATATAACACAGCATTGATAACATAAATGAAATATATGAATGTCATGAACAATTGGAATAAAAAGATATATTTAAAGATAGCATATTAAAAATGAAAGAAACAAAGACTCATAATCTTCAAAAACTTGACTATTTAATAAGACTTCATGACTATGCTTCAAATGCACCATAATTGATCAATTTGCATAGGTTTCACTGTACTGCACATATAGTACACCAGTGGACATAAATTTATAAATTTCAGTGAAAAAATTTTTAAGGTGACACTAAATTGTAAATATTACAAATGTAGAAACCAGTTTAAGTTATAAACTTTTAAATAAGTTATCATTATTTGTTTATAAAAATCAATATAAAAATAATTTCAAATTATTCATATAAACTGTTATTCTTATTAAATTTTTACAGACATTGCATAACTTAAAATCTTTGGCATGGAATTTTAGCATACTTGCTAATCAATTGAAAAATAGTCTTGGTTGCGTCCAACCAACATTCAAATTAGATACCAATTCGATGATAGTAATTATAGATTAATTTCTTTTTATAACTAGATAGGTATACTAGGACTTATTGTTACTTGAATCTAACTAATAAGGTGAAGTAATTTTTTTTAACAAGCTTCATCTAAAAATGACTAGACAATAATTAAGTTAGATTGAATTATTTTGAGGATCTAAATTGTTTAGTTTTAAAAATAATTATACGATTTCTCTATCTGTTAACTTTAAATGCTAGTGATTGATATTTTTTAAGTGTAACATTAACACTCTTTTCTTCTTCTTCATTTTGTCCAAGGAAAATCAATTTTGATCTCTCAATTTATTCAATAAGAAAGTAGTAACAAGATTTATTCCATATTAGTTTACCATACAATTATTTTATTTCCTAATGGTGCAACTAAGTCATGTTTCATTAGCTTCTGTATTTTATGCTATAATTTTGAGATTATCTGTGCTTATCTTAGATTTCCAAACATATTTTAACAACCTTGCAACCTAAAAATATTTTAAATAGGGTAATAGTTTTTAATAACTTTCCATGTGGACAATATTTGGTATAAATAATTTGTTAAAGTAATTGTGACGGATAAACTATTTTCTACAAGAATACTGTAAAGTGTGCAAATCAAAACCAACTATCACTTCTCCACAGATCACAACACAAATTTTACCTAGCCTTTCAATCAAATATTTAAAGCTGGTGAGTAAATTTCATTTTTCAAAATGTTGAGTTTACATGAAATTACATTTATAAAGATTATCATGCCTTGGTGTGCAATTAAAATTTTTTTTTTAAATAAGAACAAAAAAGGCTGGGCCACCCCACTTTCACCTAAAAAACTATTGCTTCTGGGAACATTGAAGCTTAGAGAGAACCATATTTTGATTCAGTATAACTATTGCTATAAATATGCTTTAATTTTAAATTTTCTAACGGTCTAGGTTACTAAAAAATTCTTTATATTACATTTGTTAACATTTTAAAAACATTTCATACATTTCATGAACCATTAAATAGCAAGAATCTTTAAAACTGAAATTTTATGTCTTGGTATAGAGACTATTTATTCTCAGAACTGAATATAATTCAGTTTCAATAAATTTATTTGTACTTTTCGATTAGCTGGACGCAAGTAAATTTAACTATATCTTTTAATTTTCTTTTATTTATCTTTTAGGTGTTTAAAAAATTAAAAATATTTTTAAAAAATCTTGAAGAGGCCTATATTTTTTGGATGATTTTTCGTCTTGACATCGCAAAATACCTAATTGCTATGTTGATGATTTATTCAAAGCAAATACAACATGATAAGTAAAAGAAATTATGTGGAAATAAGCTTTCAATATGCACAAAATGTAATCAAAAATATAGTAACAAAGTGACTGACAAAACATATCTGGCTATATATTAATCCTTACTAACAANCAATCACAATGCGAAAAGCCCATTGATCCGACGTTATCATTTCCTTGTTGCCATTCTGTAGTAGAAACTATGGTTTAAAATTAGTTACCAATTCCTTAAAAGATAGAGACCCTAAAAGATAGAGACCCAAAAATATGATCTACTAAAATGCAAAACTTCAGAGTGATTGTTCATAACTTTATTTTATGTTGCACCACTCGCCTATTAAAAAATGGAAACTGAAACTTAAATGTTACGCAATCATCTAGAAATATTTTTCTTGCGTCACAAGATGCCATAATTTCATAGTCGAATTGCTAACTGTTGTTTGTTGTTGTTTTTTGGTATGTTATTCTTTCGTTTAATTAATTCTAAACTTTTCTTAGTTTTAATGCTTCCTGTAATTGTATAAAAAATTCTACTACAAAGAGAAATCTGTTAATATTGCTTAATTGTATAAGTATATTGTAATATAAGCTCTGTAGTGTTGTACATTTTCTATTCCAAGTTGCACCTGCTTCAATTCTATCTCGATGTCATGTATATTTAAAATTTTACAGAAAAGATTGTAAAATCTGTTTCAAGTCGCTGCAAAATGAATGTTTTTTTTCTTCCTAAATTTGCTACACATACATACACATCATAAAATTGTAATATATTTTATATATATTTATATATACATCACTTAGATACAAGTGATATTTATATCGTTAACAAATTATGCTGCTCTTATTAAAATTCTAAATATTTTCCAAATAGTTAGGGAATCAACTAATGATATAAATGAGAAGTTTTTTCATTTCATTTTAGTTATTGCACACTTTTCCATATGTTGCAAGTATTCCACTATGCATTGGATAAAAACTGTAATAAATTTATTCACTAAAATAAATCATTATTAGTAATTTTCCAATAATTTTTAACAATGTTAGAGATCAAAATCAAAACGAACTGGGAAGTGAAATTTAGTTTTTCAATTTAATGAATATTTTATTTACTTGTGACAAATTAGTTGTTTAAATATAATGAGATTAAATTTGATTGTACATACTATTGGTCTGACGGTGAATGAATTCTAAGCCCAAGACAAAATTTGGTAATGTACCCAAGTTAAACTAGTGCAAGTTTAGTTTTGAAAAATAGCTAGTGGAGAGTAATTATTGAAAATTTTGTTGCAGAACATTACTGGGAACATAACATTTTTAAGAAGCGTTTAAAGGTGCTATTTTCATTGGAACCTGTGAAAAGTCGGATTGGTAAGTTTTTGCCAAAAAACCTCTGGTAATTTTAGAATTCTCCCTAGAAATATTAAAAGGCAGAATGGTGCCTCTCAAATATAGACTATTATATATTTTTTAAATTAACCTCTTATTCTATTTATGTGTATATTTAAAAAAATAATTTTTTTCTTCTCACTCATTATCAGAATAAGAGAAAAATAGGATGGGTGACTTATTTTTGCAAAGAGGAAAGAGGGCACATTTAAAGAGATCAGAGGCAGGGTAGACTGCCCTTCTAAAAATACTTAGGGAGAATACTGGACAATTTTTGTGACTTAACTATAGTATTATACAATGCAAGTATTGAGAATGATTTAATATCTAATAAAATGCCCCCAGTGATAAAAGTGATGCTTGCAACTGGTTATTGTCCGATTTCGGCATTTTTTGACAGGTTTTTGATGTGGTGTCAAAAACCCAAGCTTGGTAAAAAAAAAAAGTACTTAATTTTCTTTTCTTTTTTATTAATTTTTAAAAATAGGGCTTTTCTTTGGGTCTATTTTCATTATAAATAAGGAATAATAAATTTTCATAGATTGATTCCCTTTAATATTTATCAGAAACTAGTTATTTTATCATTTTCTAAAGCCACTAAAAATGAGTTTGCATTTACATAGTTTTAAGTATTTAAATGAAGAACTTTAAACAATTGAAATGAAGCATTTTTATTCTTGCAAGTGTTCTAATTTTCAGTTGTTAATTTTTTTATTTTTAAAAAGTGACTAAAAATTTAGCTACTCCCCTGTATAACTATTCAGTTAACTCTACAATCGTTCATGCAGTAAAGTTTTGAGTGACGCATCTGATGATGCAGCTTTTCTGAAGAAAATTTTTTCCAAATATGATGAAGCAGGTGAGGTGCTTATCCCTGTATGGAATATCTCTGTGAAATTACAGTAATAATGTTAAAGTGCAGAATATCTCAGACAAGGCTCGTTGAAAATTCAGGTAGCTATGAGAAAATTTTTAGTCTAAATAAAAAAAAATGACTGCGCTGTAATTTTTTTTTTAAATGTTCTCTTTGCAAAATTTTCCCTGTTAAAAAATTTATGTATAAATAGGATTTATAGATTATAAATAAACATTTTAAGTATTTAAATGAAATTTTTTTTAAAATGTCTGCATTTTTTTTTTTACAAAACTAAAATAGATTACTCTATTTCTTGGCAATTAATAAATATTGTTGCTAAATCAAAAATGTAATATTTGAATATAAAAGGCATAAGAAAGATGGAAAAGTAAATCATTATTTAGGTATTTAAACATGCATTTTTAAGGTTCGTTATATATATATTTTAATAACTTTTGTTACATCACCTTGTGTTAAAAGAAAATTGTTTTCCCTTATGTTAAATATATCACAAATGTCAGTTTCTTTATCTGCTTAAATTCCTTAAGTTTTTTTATTTGGCTTAAATTGCTTAAGTTTATGCGTGGGATCTTAAATTTAGTTTTATAAATTATCACTATTTTGTATTCAGATTTCAATTATTCTTAATACGTATGTTGGTTTATTCAGGAATTTTGTAAAATCAAATGAATTTTTTTCTTTAAGCAAAAAAATGTTTTTGTTAAAATCTTAGTATTATACAAATTTCAAAAAAAAAAAAAAAAAAAAATCTGTGCTTAGACTAACTAAACCAAGTCCAGGATACCATAGCGCACAATTCAATCAAAAATTATACCCCCCTCATTCAACAGCTGCCCCACAGAAGCACGAATACAATCTAAGATTTGAGAGGGAAAAGTGATGGCAGAACAACTGCAAGCAGCATAAATCTTCATAAATATTAAAATCTAAATTTTCTGCACCCATGTAATATTGTTCTTCATTTTTTAGCATTTGTTGCTATTCAAGTTCTTGTTCAGAGTTGACTTGCAGCCCTACACCTTTCTTGAATTTGTTTTGTACTTAATGAGAGCTTACAGTTGAAGTCCATTAGACGAAAGGTAATTTATTTAATGTAACATTTAAGCTTTGTTGTATATTATTCTTTGGTTCACTATTTTGTTATTATTACCTTAGGTTATTCAAGAATGTAGGTATGATTAAGATTGTGATAAGTGTTAATAAAAATTTTGTTTTACTAGTATTTAAACTATCCATTGTGAATAACAGCTAATTTATTATTTTAGCCCACCTTCAAATATGAATGTACGTTCAATAATGATGTTATTTCAATTGATAGGAACATATTTTCTCTAATTTTCTATAAACTTTTTTTCTTATTGGAAATAAAATAGCATTTAATACTTTAACAAAACAATTTCCTAAAACTTCTTAAATTAAATATTCAGTGTCAAGAAAGGCTTTACAAGTTGAAGATTTAAAGAACAATTTCATAAAAAATAGTTTAAAACTGATAACTGACTCATGTAAACGCGAATAAATTTTTCTTTATACTTCCTCATGTTTAAATAAGCAAATTTTTTATTCAAAACCTTTTTAAACATAGATGTAATTGTAAATAAATTAGGTTCTCCAGCTAAGTTTGTCTACTAAAAGTAGTTAAGTAGTAATTTACTGCATTTGTAATGAAGTAGTTGCAGTTAATTACAAAAATTTTTTATCTCAGCAGTGATCATGTCTTTTTCGTTAACCAAATAAACTAAGTTTAAGTTGAAGATGCATATTTTTAGATTGAATTATTCTTTCACTTCTCTCCAATTAAAGAAATATACACTTTGCTTTCCCTGCGTAAATATGAGTGAGCAGATGAGCTTGTGTTTCATTTGCAAACAGTTTTCTGTGTTGTATATGAATAGTCAGCACACTGATTTTATCTTTATAAGTAAACTGAAAATAATGTCCCTTTTTTGTTAATTAATTATCAAGCAAGAAATGTAGCTGAATTTTACCAATAAGCACTTATATATCAAAATTGTTGAAGTTTTTAATTGATCCTATACATATTTATTTTTTAGGAAATAAAGTTAAATAATGGGAAGGAAAGGATCCATTTTGGTACCATTTTTAGTTGAAGGTTTGGAGGGTAAAAAATATGGTCGTTATCTATCTGGAAACATAGATAATATCATACAAATAATATTACCTCGAAAGACGAAGAATCTATCTAGTGATAGCATGAAGATCTTAAAGGTACTTTTAAAACATTTGAATTTAAATATATTTCTTTATATTTATTTATATATTTTTTTTTAGATTTTTTACAGTTATTTATTTGATATATTGTTTTATTTGTCTTATTAATTCTAGCTTTTTACGTACATATTGGTGTTTTGTTAAATGTTAATCAAAATTTAAGATTTTATTATAATGAATCACTCTTTAACTAATTGTTAGTATTTATCTTTTCTTATTTTTTATATCCTTTTCAATAATATCGTAATGAAAATAATATTTTCAATAATATCGAAAAGAAATCTTTAATGTCAAGATGTTTAAGCTTTTTTTCAATGTCAGATTGTATCATTATTATTAGCAAATCTTTATGAATACATTTGTTGCATCGGTTAATTTTTTAATATTTTCTGTTAGGCTGTACTAGTCTTTTCCTTTTATTGGCTACCATAACATTTCACCCTGGTAGACTTAAATTTCTGTTGGAAATATTTCCACATCAGATTTTGTTTACATCAAAGCGATTTTCTATTTGCAAGAAATTAAATATTTTCATATTAATGATGGCTTCTGGAGAGATAGCTACAATCCGTATTAAAATCTCTTCAAGTATGCCTTTTTCTGTGAATTTTAGTCAGTAAATTTAGGACTTTTTTTGCTATAGTCTCCTTTGATAAATTTGCTTTTTTTCTTCTTTTTTTTTAACTTAGCAATATTTCATACTTTTATTAAGTAATAATTTTATTCTTTTATTTATTTAAAAAAATATATATTTATAAAAATTGCTTTACTTTATATTTTCAGGATTGGAATTTGAAGAAAGGTAGAAAATTTAAAGATCAAAATGACTATACTAAAGCTAAACAAGGAATGTTGGCTGCTCTTCGGCGATCAGATTATTTAGAGAGGATTTCAAGTTTAAAGCCGAAATTATGTTATAAAATTTTGGATTGGAATGAAGTCCAAGGTATTTTATTTTCTTGCTTAGGGATTTCTTTTGTTGAGAGATAAATTGTAAAAGTACGTAATCTTTAAATTATGCATTTTATAATGACAATAATCTAAAGGATATATTGTTAATATATTGGAAGTAAAAATAAAAACTTACCACTGCCTCAATGCAAAACAAATATCTGCACAGTTATAATAATGAATCCCAGAGTTCCACATTTATTATTATCCCTAAACTTAGCTCAGGTGTACACGTTTCGTTTATTTATTTATTTTATTACAATAAATTTTTTTATTTATAATTGGAATTTGGAAAAATTTTCATTTATATTTGGAAGAACTCTAAGGCACTCTTTTGTAAAATGAAAGTAAAAATAGTGTAAATACAGATGTCTTGTAAAATAAGTGATCAAGTTATAGCTCTCAGTTTTTATTCCAAACAAATCAAAATTATTTTATTTAATTCAACTCTGTTCTCTGAAAATAGTGTAATATTTTACATTTAGAATAATTTGATGAAGTCCATTCTAATTTTCCATTGCTGATAGTTAAGCTTAATTATGAGTGTGCACTATAGAAATGATGCGTAAGGCTCCTGATTAATTCAATATGATCAATAATATTAATCTTGTTAATGTTATGATGAATATATTTTTTATTTAAATTTAAAAAATACACTCAATAACTTTTTAAATTATACTTTAACTAATCATAAATTTGAATTAAAATTGTTTGTTTTTATGTATTCAAATAAAGTAATTATTAATTTTAAAAATAGAATGTGCAACTCAGTATTAAATATATTTAAAATTCAGTATAAATTATTTTTCACGGTGGCTAATACAATCAAGAGAAGAGTTCTTTGTCAGAATTTGGTTTGATGCTCTCCCAATCCATAGTTAAGAAAATATCAGAATTCTTTCATTAGCGGAACAATACTAGCACACGTGACCTGCTGAAAAAGATAAGCTTCTTCAGTGTACAACCCTTTGAATTGATAGGCATCTTATTTTATATGTAAATTGCAGATACTGTAAACCTTTTACGACCATATAGCAATCAAAGGGATTAAAAAAATGACACAAAGTGTATTTCTGCTGCATAAGGGTGTGGGTGTAATAAAAACAACTCTCTTTAGTTTTCTGATACTAACATATTTTTTGCTTTTACATTGGTTAAAAATAATCGTTTATGTGTTTTATTATTTTTTTCTTGTAGAAAAGAAGCGGAAATTAAAAGGAAAGAAAAGATCAGCATCAGTAGATGAACTAGAATCTCCATCATCAGTAGATTCTGGATTCGATAACTCTGTCGAATCTCCTATGACTGACCAGTCTCACGAAATGGATGAGGAATATGTTTCGAATCATGATATTTTGGATTATGATAGTGGTAATGAGTCACAATTTTGTGATGAGGTAGCATCTTCACCTGGTCAGAGCATTTCTGCCACTAATGAATGTTCTAACAATCGAAATATCTTGGATGCTATCAGGCATGATCATGATGCCTATTTTTCTAATGCTGTTCAGAATCAAGATGCAGCCATTCTTTCTGTTGATCAAGTTTCATCAGATTTAGGCAAGTTTGAATTTTAAATTGCTAGGTATGCTTTTAATTTAAGAAAAATATTATTTCTTTGCATCTGGAACATCTAAAATTACATTGTAATATCTGATAATTAGTTATACAATTTCTTTAATGTTAGTAATTTCCCTAACATGATCATGTACTATTTTCTCTGATTTTGAATTTTTTAATATATTAACTTCTTAAACGCGATTAACATGTCTGCCAATTCCAATGGATATCCCAGGAGACTTCTGGCAGATGTGTATAATACACACAAAGGGCATTGCAAAAATATTGTCACCATCGCTGAAAGGATTTTAGTATTACGAAAATGGAAAAGCAGTCGAATATTCTTTACCTTACAGGTCAATCTGGCTGAGATAGATGTGATAATTTTTTTCTTCTGTCATTACTTTTATGCCACTGCAATAATTGACTTTCAGGCATGCTGGTATCAAGAATTAGATTTTTTTAAAATCTATTTTCAATTTTAAAAAGAAAAATCCACCTTTTCAAAAAAAGTTTGTCCTTTTCGAATTCCCCGGGGAGGGGGAGGGGATTAGAACTTGTTTTCTGCTTTTTACCACCTATGCAAGTGATACTTAAATTGCATTCACAATTTAAAATCACACGTTGTGACTCCTGTTTACACCTCGATTTAAAATCACGCATTCTAATATTTGATATGAAATTGTGATTTCTATTTTCATATCAAATATCACGATTTATATACACGCAATTTTTTTAAGCCACTATTAACATTAATGTTCTAATGGCTTAAAAATGTGAACATACCAATTCATATTCAAACGATTTTAAAATCAAACATAGAGGTTCGTATGAGCATGATTTTAAAATTAAGAATTTTAGCAGGGTGCATAGCATTTTTAAAAAGTGCTTAAAGGTGCTTATTTTTTTAAGTGCTTTTTTCATTGAGTGTTTTTAAAAAGTGCTTAATTTTTCCTTTATTTTCCCTTTATTAAGTATTGCTGTTAAATGGTATAGTAAGCCGATTTTATACATACTAATCAGGGTTTTTTTTTCTTTTTCAGTATTCTAAAATTATTTTTCATAATTGTATTTTTAAATTAATTGAAGAATGTTATAACTATCTAAAATGATTTGTAATCAACATCAGTCATTGAAATTTATGAATTCAATATTTTAGATACTACACAGTAGTTATGTGCTAAAAAAATTGCTCTAATACTTATTGTAACAAAATTTTAACAATTTGGTACATAGAAAATGGGCTAGCTATCATTGCAATTATAAATATTATATGATTACTATTACTATCTAAAGCTTTCAATAGAGAACCTAACAGAATTTTTTAGTTAAAATTACTAATTTAATGATTCAAATCATAAAATGTAGGATTTCTTACCTTTATTTGAATCATTTATTATTTAACTTATTTGTTATTTTATTTCATTTTTTCTTAAGGAGAAGCTATTTTATAGGGAAAAACATTAATTTTTAATATTCAAAGTGTAATTTGAGTAGATGAAGCAAAATAATATATATTTTCAATAGCTGTAAAGGTTGCTCTTTTATTATTTTTAAGTTTTTATTTGTTAGTAAACTTACCAGTCAGTTTAACAGGATATTTAAAGGCAGTTTTTAATTTAGTTCACTTGAAATCTGTATTTATTTCTATTTTGAATCTGAAGTAAATATCATTTCTTTGAAGTTATAGATTTTGATTTTCTCAGGTTGTGCTTTTTTATTAAGTGTATTTTTATCCTAATTGAGCAAGTAATAGTTAAGGATTCAAATTAATTTTGTTATATGCATACAGAAATTGATAAGTAAAATTATTTCCTTTTACAGATAAACTAGCTCTCAATCAGATTGAACCTTTGGAGTTAACAGATTCGCAATATGAAGAGTTACGCGACCAAGTTTCATTTGATGAATTGACATTTAGTGATATACATTTTATGAAGGAAGATGATGGTAATTTTAGTGGTTCTATTTGATTATTATTTAAAAGCTGTAAAAGAATTACTAATTATTATATAAATCTTTAAAATTTATTGTCTTTAAAGTAACCAATGCTAGATAATAAAAAAATTTGAAATCCAATGTCCGATTAAAATTTATAGACGGTTAATTTATGTTTATAAAGCGAATTTTTATTTTTTTCCCTTCATTAGCTATATCTGTCTTTTTATTGCATTTTTATTAATAGGGGTGCTAGTTTTATGAAAGAAGTTTTTACTTTTGAAGCACATTAACTTGTATGTGCTTTATTATTATTATTTTTTTTAAAAGAATTTTTTGACTAGTTTATGTTAAAACTATCTAGTTAATATATATATGTGTGTGTGTAAATAAATGAACGTTTTTTTTTTCTTTTCTTTTTCAGTTGCACAAGTGTACTCTATCAGAGTACTCAAACTGAATTCTGAACATTCTCTGGGGGAGACATCCTTTTTAGTTTGTGAACCAGTGGTATGAATTTTAACTTTTACTCCATTTCTTATTTTTAATCTAAGGTAATGTGTGAATAGTTTTAATTTAGGTTTGATAGAAAGCCATTGTGAAAAGTATAATAATTATAAATAGGAACATCATTGTAACTCATGATTTATTGATTGGATTATCATATTAGGATTATGCCATTCTTATGATTTGAGGACTCAATCTTAAATATGCTAATTAACTTATACACACAATATTTTCAATTTAAAATCACAATCTGTCTGAATAAACATACCCTTTTTTTTCATCAGATATGGTTTCTTTATCCTCAAAATATGTTCACAATAGTTAAGCTAAGAGAAACATAGCCCCATAATAATTTCTAGTTTATGTATTTTTGTCATATTTCTTGAATTCTTGGAAGAAAATCGCAAACTTTTTGCACATAATTACGAAGTTTGTGCAATGATAATTCCATCTAAAAAAACTATTTTTATACATATTTTTCTATTTTGATAATTTTTAAGTTTTATTTTATCTTTCAGCCATTATACTAATTCAGTTAACTTTTATGTATAAAATTTTTTTATTCTCTCGATAAGTTCTAAGAAATAAAAATTTCAAACCAGTTTCTTTGAAATAGTAAAGTGAAAAGTAAAATTATCTTAAAAGGTTTAAACTTTCAACCACTCTCATGACTAATCTATTTGTACCATACCTTATATATTAAAGGGCATAAATCGAATTCCAAAAAGTTTTATTCTGAGTAAGTATGTTTTTCAGGGATGAGATTTTTCTGCTTTTTTACTTTTGTCTCTCGAATTTCAGCCTTTTTATCGAAAAAACTCAGATTCTCTAAAAGTTTCAGCTTTTTTAAAAGGAATATAAATATTAAGCTTTTTCGGAAAATTCAGCCAATGAAATAAATTATCTTTCCAATTTTCAAAGATAAACAGAAAATTCAAACTACACAACTGCCAACCCTTTTGCAGTTTTATTTATTTTGGCTATTTCTCCACTTTTACCAGCAGAAGATAAGATTTTTTGCATTTTTACCCTTCCGCCAGATAGCTCGGATATTCATAATGCAAATGTCGCTTCTTCAAACAAGCCTTTTAGATGCCCCAAACCCAGAATCTGCTAATATCTCGATTCTTATTCATGCAATTTTAATATCAAACATAGCTTTTCGTATTTATGTGATTTAGAAGTTGCGATTCTTATTGACGCGATTTAAATATCGTACATTGCGATTCTTATTTACGAGATTTAAAAATCGATAGTACGATTTGTATTTACCCCTTTTTTTAAAACCTATGTAGGGATTTGTATTCACACGAGTTTAAAATTCTATGTCGTGATTCTTTCATATGGTTATAATATCAAACATCGATTTTCATATTTATACGTGATTTCAAAATAAGGTGTTGGTATTCGTAACCACGCGATTAAAATATTGTACATTGCTATTCTTATTTATAAGACTTTAAAAAATCCAATATCTCTATTTGTATTTACGAGTTTTTAAAAACCTATGTAGCGATTCATATTCACGCGAGTTTAAAATCCAATGTCGTGATTTGCTCTTACAGTTATAATATCAAACATCGATTTTCGTATTTATATGTGATTTAAAAATAAGGCATTGAGATTCGTATTCACACAGTCTAAAAATAATTATGCATAATGATTCTAATTTTTCATCAAAATTCATATCGAATGAAAAATAATTATGTAACCAGCTGCTGATTATCATATAATTTTTCAAACTAAAATAGCAAGTTTTGTATGTTAAGGAGCTACTATATGTTTCTACTTCTCAGCTATTGATATGTTTCACAGGGCTCTAGCTAGATTAGATTTATAATATGAACATAGCGATTCCAATTGTAAAAGTTGGTTTTTTTCTAAATAATTAAAAAAGTCATGTTACTGATATTTTTGCTATAAATCATGTAATAGTATTTATTTAAAGAAATGGAATGTTAATGTATGTTCTCAGTAGTTTTAATTTGCTAAGCTAGTTAGTTTCTAAAGTAATAATTGTCTCCTTTATGTGAACTGAAGAAAAATATAATTTCTAGCTTTATTTTTTAAATTGGTAATTTTACTCTTTACTAAATGTTAAATATTGATGTAATCATTCATATATTAATAAATTAGTGCACAATTTTATGTCAACACTTAGTTATTTGGACTTAGTACTGGAATTTATTATTAAACAATTGCACACTTGTAAAATATACTCACGTAGAAATTTAGCTTTTTTGCCTTTTGGCTTATCTCATCAATGGATTTTGTATCTGATTTATTTACTGAAAATATCTGAATTTATTAATTAGCAGATTTAAGTTTAGCCCCTTCAACCATTTATGTTGCATAAACTATTATTTATGTTTTTGGACTATATCATGCATGCATTAACTCATCAGAATTAATGTTTTTGTAGTGCTTGATGTTCTTTTTCCTTCCATAATTTTAGAAAGAATTTTATTTAAAACTCTGCTCAGGTTTGCTTTCTTATTTGAAATACTGATCTTATGATTCTTAAGCATCCAAGCAAATTTTCATTTGTTAGATTAGTATATTAACTTGTTTAGCGCATATTTAAGTTTTTAACGAATTGTCATTATTCTGACATTATGTTATAAAATGAAAGATTTTAGTTAACTTTTTGCTCTCATCTATTATATTTTTTTATAAATATTTTTCATTATTAAATCTACTTGCAGTTCCTTTTATTCTTGTGACAATGACATACAAAGAAAGTCTAATTTCAGTCTGCATTATTTGTATATAAGTAAAATATTCTAAATTAACTCCAATGAATTTTATGTATACTGAATGAAATGAAAATAAAGTTTAGGATTACTCGATATCACCCTGGGTTTCATAAATTAGATAATGCATATGCATGATACATGAAAAAAAAATGCATAGAAATATATACCCATTTTCAATCCTACCATCAAGAAGAAGAAAAAAAAACAAATGTAAAAAGATATTTTCTAGTAAGCTCTTAATATCTATACTAATTCTCTTTTAAATTTTACAAGTTTTCTAACCTTTTGAAGTTTTTTTTATATTCTTTACTTATTTTGATGAACATATTGGCTTTGGCTACTAAGAATCTTGTCTTATCTTAATACGCAATTTTTTTTCCTCCAGGGCACAGAGATTCATCTTAACAAATCTGGTAAGTGTTACTTAAAAATAATAATTAAGCTTTAATAAATTCTGCTAATAATTTAAAGCTTTTAAAAACTAAATTCAGCATTTTGATTATACTGGATGGCTACAAGACAAAGAAAATCAATTTGTTAAATGTCAGAGAATTTTATTAAAATATCAACAGAAAAAATCTGGAAAAGTAATTAATAAGCGGTTGAAGCACTAGCAAATTTAGTATTTTTCTATTTAATAAATTGTTATGAATTCTAAAAAAATACTTTAATGATATTCAATGTGAGCTAATTTTATGTTGGCTATGTAGATCAATGAATTGATGTCTAAACGTTTTTGTAACTAATAAAGTTATATTTATGTAGTTACAGTAATTTCCTTAATTCTAAAAAGTTTACTTTTAGCTTCAACGAGTGAAAATGTTTAGTGATATATTTTATGTACATGACAAGACAAAATTGAAAAATTACTAATAAAATTTATGACATCAGCAACAGAAATCTGGAAAATTTGATAAAATCATCCTAACAAAAATCAGAATTTTTTTTTTTTTAGTATTTGTGGCCATACTGTTATTAATTGAATTGTATATTATGTGTTGAGTAAACAATGCATTCATATGATATTTAAAAATTTGAATTTAAAATTCGGTAGAATTATATAATTAGCTAAAATTAATATATATGTATTATTTATATTGTGTATTTTTATCTTATTTTTATTAACTGTTTTTTGTCCTTAATTGATAAAGTTCTTGAATAAAAAGATAATTAATTTAAATGGAAACAAAGTGATATTGTAGCAGTTGATCTGCACATATGTTTAAAAGAAAAAATTCTAAAAGTTGTGTGGAATATTAAGTAATTCTTTACAAAGAACTGTGAATAGTATACAAATTATCCTTTAATTTTATTAGTAATATTGAAGAACTTAAACTCTTAATTAAATCTAACTGTAGTTAAGACCTAAAAATAATCGCTCACCACTGACATGTGAAGAGTCAACAAAAAAAGTGGGAACTTAAATTAAATAAATTACCAGTAATTTTTTCATGTTTTTTTTCTAAATAGTTTAATAATTAAAGTACATCAATAAAAATATGTACTTTGGATAATGAAATTTTCATTAAAATGTCCAATATTTTCATTCAAAATTTTCATCCTTCAAAATCCATGATTTTATGGTAGAAAGAATTCCTTAAAAATTCTCAGTTTTCAAAGTTGTAATGTTTATATTAAATGTATTGTCCCTCCAAGTTTATTGTTGAATTAACTTTTTAAATAGTTTGCAAAAAGTGGCTATTAAATGAAAAGGACCTATAGATATTACCTAGTCACCGACTCATTAGATTTGAAGAAAACATGGCTACTAACTTATTAGAGTCTACCGCCCTCTGACTAATAACTGAAAATTTTAATTTTCAGTTTTACTGTAGTTAATCATTATTTGTCATTATAGTATGTTGTAAAATAAATTTTAAAAAATTCAATAGGCTAAGTTATTTTTTATGTATTATGCTCAGAGCACAATTTTAGGTAAAATAATTAAGTGGGAGGAAATATCAAACTTCACTCACCATAAATAAAAAAACTAGACTATGTCTCTTAAATTTTATAGTTTTTTTTTCTCTAAATAAGAAAATTTTTTGTAATTAAAGAGATGTAGATAAATGCGTATCTTTTTTAAATTGCTTTCTTATTAAAGTATGCACGGTTTTTGCCTCTATTTTTTTTTCCTGATAAACAATTTTGCCTTCATATGTTAGATAATGACTTCAGATTTTCTGCATGCTTTGATCTATGTTTAATTATTCATTATTATTAAGCAGAATTAGTTAGATCAGTTTTTATAAAAAGCCTCTGATTATGAATTTATCTCCAATAAAGATTGTTAAGACCTTCAGTATACATAATTAATAAATATTTTTGTATAACTTTTATTGTATCAGTATAGTAAAAACATTTAACAATAAACAAGCACATAGATATTTATTCTCATCTAGAAAATTCATTTTTCTAAAATATTATAGAAATACAGTATCTTATTAAATATTTTTTGTTGTATAGAATGTGTGCTTTATGAAAATGATTAACTTCTTGTAATCCATGATTATTAAAAATTTATGAACAATTAGTTTATTGATTAAGCACAATAGATAAAATAGAAGTGAGCTTTATTTTATTAAGAAAAAATTAAAATATGTATTATGAAAATAAACTACCTTACTTAACGATTTTGTTGTTTATTTTCAGTTTATGAATCTATACCCTTGGATTGTGAAACATCCCAGAGACTTCAGCCATATGAAGTTCTTGAAGTGAGACAAGATGAAGACATTATATTGTTTTTATTTTCAGACCTTGATATGATTGTTTTGAGTACTGATGTTTCTGAGAGACTAAAGTTGTCTCAAATTTCTGAGGTGAAAAGATTGGACAAGCATGTCCTATTTTTTCTGAATCCTCAAAAGTGTGTTGGAAGCAATTAATTATTTCTTTCCAAGCACTGAACGTCTTAACACACTCATGAAAATATTCTATTTCTCTGTTTACGCTTATTTATTGGTGTATAATCAGTCCTTTTTTATGAGGCTGTTATCTTTTGAGGCATTGTGGATACAAAAAGAAACTTGTCTGTTTTTTCTTTTAAACATTTATAATTTTTTGACATACGATCTTCAGAAAACAGATCAACTCATTCCCTTCCAAAAGGCAACCATATTGTTTTTTTAAAACTGGTTGTAGTTAATTCTTAATGTTTACAATGCCTTATTAATTTAGATGTTTTCATGAGTATCACAAACTTTTGAATTTCCAAAAGTTTTATACAAGAAAGTTTATGATATACTTTCATTAATTTTTTCTCCAATATATTACTTGTAGAACATTAGTATTTTGTGTTAACTATCATATGTATATGTATGTTATATTAACCATCATATGTATAACAGACAGAAGTCTGTTTGAAACGTATATTTTTGCTATTATGAATTATTTTTGTCTTGCTTACATACCATTTAAGCATGAATAATTTTTTTTGAATTGTTAGTATGTTTTGCAGATTAGAAACCATTCTGACTTGCACCACATTATTGTGGAAGTATGCAAAATTTATTTTGCATTTACCGAACACTGATATTTAAGTCTTAACATAAAGTGAATTGATGGTTGAAAATTTCCCATATTCACATTTCTATGGTCCAGTATTTTAGCTTTACACAATGTAAAGTTATAACTGCGACTTCAATGTGTCAAATATTTGAAAACTACTTTTCCTTGATAGTAGTAATACATAGAAATATCTATGAATTGCTATTATTTTGGAAATCGGATGTGGGATCATTGGTAAAAACCAATCTTACCCATAAAGTTTAAAACTAATTTTCGTAACGTTGAGTTCGAAATAATTGAACTATTTTCATAATTGCTATGATTGTTATTTCTACGATTATAGAAATTAGATGGGGGATCCTTATTAAAAGCTAAATGTTTGCTGTAAGGTATAACAGCAGTTACAATCTAAGAAGCATGAAACTACTTTTTTTTACGATTTGTAAGAGTAGAAATGTCATCAAAATTAAATACTTACTTCACAGAAATTGTAATTTGTAAAAGAAAAATGTCACTCATAATGTGCAACAGCTATATAAAGAAACATGTTTTAAAAACCTCTTTCACTGAATAAAATAAATCATTTTCAGTCGCCCTTTTAGTGAGTGTTTAAATCACAGTAGTTTAGTTACCGAAGATGGTAGCATTTTTCCACTACAATTGAAATATTCCATAAAGGGAAGGAAGCTAACTCAATTGCACAAAAGCCTATTGTGCCCATCTCAGTTTTCTTGACTCTGGGGTGGTCAGCCGAATGCGAACCCCTCTGTGTTTAGTTCCCAGACATGGGATGAAAGGCTGGGTCAACCTTGCCCGGCCTGACAGTCGAACCCAGGACCTTTGACATGGGAGCGCAAAGCGCTTCCACTTAGCCACTGGGTGTCAGGGAGGGAGGTAATTCACTTAAATATAGATTATACACTACAAGTGCAAGTTAGTGCTCTTATTTTTTTGTGTCTGGCTTAGTTTATAATTTTTGACCTTGTGTTTGCAAGCCAAATTCTCCCATTTTAATTGAATATTTTTCTTGTATATTTAAAATTATTGTAAATACTGTGATTTAGAGAACTCTACAATAATTGTATAAAACCTGATATTGCACAATATCGAAAAAAATAAAAGTTTTAATCAACTGTTATTTTCCTGCCACTTTAAATATTTTATTTAACTTGGATTTCGAGTTCGCATCTGTGCTCATTTATGTATTGTTTGAATTTTGCATTTTTATGGCTTATTCAAGTTCTTGTAACAATAATAACCTAAAAAAATCGATCAAATGGAACTCTTGCAAGAGAATAATTTAAAATATGTTATTTAATGTAAGTAGGTGTCACATACAAGATTAGAGAATTTTATTGTACTTAGTAGTGTATTGAATTTTATTCTTCCTGTACTTAGAAAATAATTTTTACCTTATTTGCTTGCCATATACTCTTTTTAAAATGTGAAGTGTATTTGTAATTTCCTTTATGTAAAATATTTATTCACTAGCTGTATATTACTTCAAACTCTACTAGCATTTTTGAGACTTTCTCTATTTCATAGTGCTTAATTAATGAAAAAAATCTATGGTTTGTAATAGAATCTAGCTTAATTTCATAAGAGTATGCAATGTAAATTGAAATTAAATAAATGAGTTTTGTTTTGCTTAAATATATATAAAAAAAAACTTGTAGTTGTTAAGCTTTCAGCATGGAAACTATAAAAACCCAGCAACTTATGTACAGTTCTTTTCCTTTTAAATAACATAAGGAAGTGCCAAAGAAGCATTGTTTCTAATTACATTGTTTTTAATTCCTAATTACGTTTTTAAATTCACTGAATTGTAAAAAGGTGAATTTAAATGAGGATCTTTTGCTTTGTAGGTTTTGGTATTATGAGTTAATATATTCAGAAGTGCATCAGTACGAAATGATGCTGCGGGTGGAACTTTGATTTTTTTTTTTACATAACTTAAAAGAAATGAACTATCTTTCAAGTACATGAAATTATAGTAATAAACAAATTTTGAAATAGATAAAAAAAATTAAAATGTGATTTTAACAAGAAATCTATGTCATTCCTTTGACTCCTTTCTTTAGTAAATATTTTATCTCTTTCAACATGAATTGTGTTGTGGTGTCACTATTGTAATCAGTAATCACTTAAATTTAATAAACTTAAATACATGTGTACCATTTCTGACTAAATCTAAAATTGTGAAGTTAAAGGTTAAATTATGATTGAAAAGTTGAGGGATTTTTTTTGCCATTAACTTTTCGCTTAAGCCATATGATATGCTTAATGTGTGTTATTTCTGAACAAATGTTTCTTTTTTTTTTCATATGGCAATAATGAGATTATCTACATAACATATTACTCAAGTTGTTAATATTTGAATAAATGAAATGTGTATTGATGTATCCCTGTGTGTATTGTGAATATTATTATTTTTTCTTATGGGAATCACTCTCTTATGTATTGCTTAAAGCTATCTGATCAATGTATGATTTTTTCTTAGCGTATAATCTTGTGCAATAAATATGTTACAGCTTATTCTAGTGCCTTGTGTTATTTGTGTTGTCTTTCTTAGTAACTTCGTTTAAAACTAGAAAGCTGTTAATGAATTTTTAAAAATTCATTTAGCAAAAAAATTTTTTTTACCTTATTAGAATGTAATATGCTCATGTATTTGCGTTATAGTTATAAAATTGCAGCTATAATACAGTTGCTTTTGCTTGGAACTACTTCAGTTTTATGTTTAAATATTTTCTGAAAGATTAAGGCTGTTCTGATGTATTAGTAAATGTTACTGATGTATTGTAAAAATAATATAAATGAGAACATTCCTGATAAGGAATAATTTAATTCTAACTTCATCTTAAGCTATGCTTATTAGTGTTAAGATGAAAGGTAATTCATGAATCTATTTTTTATTTTATTCATTTTCTAGAATTGAAAGGTGATAGTTAAAGAATAAAAACTAGAATGATAATAACTAAAGAAAGAAATTAGAATGATAATTTGAGCCACATATGTACAACTAATGAATTTCAGAAACTTCCATGTTTGTTAAAATAGATTTTTAAAAAAATTTCATGTTTATTTTAAAACTTTTTGAGGTGTAAGTTGTTATCCTTTATATTCAGAAATTTTTAATAAATCTTTTGAAATATATTTTTAATAGCTACATGACATGATTCTGGAACTAATCTATCTGTCCCTCTTGGAATTAATTGCGCAGTTCTTTTCTAGCATAGAAAAATTATGTTAGTAAACCCTATCTGAAAGCAAATAAAATTAAAGTTCCGAATAAAATAGTCAATATGGAAATTCAAATATGAACATTTTAAAGCTTAATTTTACTTTTTGAATTTTTACCCGGTAGTTCATTAAATTATTGAATCTCTTAAGGCTTATATTGAAAATTATTTTGTTGTAAATTAATGAAAATTTCGTTCATTTCATTCGTTTCATTTTTCGTCCGTTCGTTTCATTTTTATGTGATGTAGAATTTATGCTTATGTTTCCGTCCAGAAGGCAAAAGATAATTCGATTTCGTTATTTTTTAATCTTTCTAGATAATAATATGGGGAAAAAGGCTTTAAAATTTTAATAGCTCTATCACTGATTTTAAAGGTCAAAAGTTTTTAGTGCCTGCATGCATAATGGAGCATTGGGATAAGTTTTCTATCTTATCTCACCACAGAGATGGAAATGTCCAGAACTCATATGGTGGTTTATGTGATTTTAAATTAATAAGATTATTCAATTTCCAAAATTTGAACGAAATCGATCGAATATTACCTGAGAAATCGAATTATAAAAAATTCGAACAGTTAAAATTCGATTTCTCAGAAACTATTGGACCGTTTTTCTATTCGGCATGTAAAATTACTTTCTTAAAAATTTTATACTTTATAGTTTTTTTTTCTTCACATTGTGCCCTTAAGTTTATTAAATTGCAGTTATTGATAAAAAATGCTTTAAATTTTTTTTTTATGTTGGAACGATAAATCAAAGAAATAATCATAAGAGAGTCACAAATAAAGACCAATTTTTTTTAACATATTTTAATAGAATAATAATTATATATTTTGAGTTAGAATAATGAAGCTAAAAGTTTTGCACTCCTTACTCGTGTACTATCTGCTTTCTTACTAATATTCTAAAACTGATTCCTCATCATATAAAATTCGTATGGAGTCAACAATCACTTGACGATTTAAAGTATCGATTTCGATGAATACTGGTGAATCTGAAATATAAGAATTATAAAATCCTTTAGGAAATTTCATGTGTCTTTACATATTTCCAACAAAATATTTATTTTATAATATGTCACCAAATATTTGAGTTGTTATAGTTATATTTTATATTGAGTTGGAAAAGGGATAATAACTACTTGAGCAGGATTATTACACTATATTATTATTACCTATCCAACAGTAGAAGAAAATCATCTAAAGCAGTACTAGCACATTTTCAAGCGTCATTAACTAGAGTGATTTTGTCTTGATTTTTAGGCTAGTACAAACCAAACATAATGCGTACGTCACCATTTTTGAAAGTACTATTTTAGAAGAGAAAAGGACAAAATGTCATATATAGTTAAAAACATGGAAAATAATATAATAAAGATTAATGAAAAGAGAAGGAAAATTATTAAATATATATAATTATAATATTTTCAAAAAATTTTTTGTTTAAAAAAAAATTATTAAAAATCCAGAAAACAAAATAAGGAAAATATATAATCTCGTCCTCAGCTCACACGATTGTATCCGCAGAGAAAAAATGCTTTCTAATATTGTATAAGAAATAGCCTAAGTAAAATATATCAATACAGTAATGCGAGGAGCACTCAAAAAATTAAAACGAAAATAGTTTCTTTAAGTAAAAAATATACGAAATAACACATATCGACAAAAAAACAGAAAATAAAATGTATGAAATGAACAGAACACTAAACGTAATCTATAAAGCGAGTATCGAATTCAAATTAACTTACTCATACCAGAATCTTTCAAGAATGATTTAAAATATTTTCGTAATAAACCTGCCAGATTACAAAATATGAAAGCAAAAATGCAAATAGAGATTAGAAACGTAAATAGAGAGATTTTTAGAAAGCGCTTCTTTTCGTGCGGATATAATCGTGTGAGAAGAAAGCATTCCTTTTTGCGGATATAATCGTGTAAGCTGATGACGAGATTATATCTTTTCAATATTTTTTTCCCGGCTATTCTATAATTTTTTAAAATAAATTTTTTTAACTATTTTTTAAAAATATTTTATTCTAATAATTTTTCTTCTCTTTTCATTAATCTTTATTATATTTATTTTCCATGTTTTCTTTATGTTTTTAACTATTTTACGAGTTTTATATACTTGCAGCTTATGCGCAGTAAATAGAACTTATTAATTTCCATAGTTTTTCTCTCTTTTTCTTTTAATTCACTCTTCTTTTTTTCACTTTTCTCAAAACTTGACATTTCACTTTTAGCCCATTGAAAGTATCAATGTCAATTTTTACTGGAGATCAAAGCATCACAATCAAGTTTTTCTTAGGTTAGAAATTATTGGATATCTATATCATAAATTTTATGAATTAGAAGTTAAGTAAATTAAAGATGTAAAAATAAAAACTAGTTAAATTATTAGATAAAGGAAACAAAATGTTATAGTTTTAGAAACTTCTTAATTAGTAATTTTTTATTTTATTATATAACCGTCGTTGAACAGCAGACCCAATTTTGGGTTTACGACTACTAATGTTCAACTCCATAGCCTTGTAATTTTGAACCAATCCAGAAGACAAGGAAACTCCTGAATCAGTACCCCCAGAGGTATGATTTGTTATGGGAACATGGAGGACTTTGAGACTCGACAGATTTAACGTGCATCAGTCACCATTTACTACACGGGGAGTCTTCGGCTGGCGAGGATCGAACCCACAACCTCTTGGACATGGGCCCAGTGTCCTACCAACCAGGCTATCCCGGCCTCTTAATTAGTAATTAGGGCTAACAAAGATACTGTATAAGCAAACATCAGTATTTACTTTTGCAGAGCTATAATTTTATAAATAAACACTAGAAAAACGGCTGACTCCATTTTGGCCCCTCTCGTTTTTTTAATTGTTCTATAATTTAAAGAATAACTTTCTAAAAGTACTGAGTATTTCTGACTTTTAATAATTTGATTTAATGTAATGCCTATTTAATCATCCATGCGCTAGTGTATATGTTAGGGATGTATGTATAAAACCTTATGCCTATGACGGGAGATACCATAGTGGCTCCTTAGGTATTTTCAACATATCTTCAATTATTATTTATAGAGAGAAGGAAACTCAGATATCTAAGAGACTGACATATAACATTTGAAACGCCATTGTTCCGTTTAATAAAATATTTTCATTAATCAAAAGAAATAAAATACAGAAGAATTTTGATGACCAAATCCCTAAAACATTTTTTGCTACATTAATTATGATTATATTTTAAGATTTTGGATGTCTAGTTGATCAACGCACAAACAATCAGGAAAGGGCCAGTGTGGCCCCTTCAGATTTTTCAGATATACAGCAATGTTAACATTGCTGTATATCTGGTAATAACTGAATTCAGTTATTTTTAAAATGTCAGTGATTTAATTACGTCACGTTGCAGACATTACGTAAATGACAGTGCTATGTTAAATGGATAAGTTATTATACTTGAAGTAAACACTATTGAATCATAGAAATATTGTCGTTTAAAATGAGTGTGCCCTTAGAAAAAAAAGAAAGAAAAAACATTATTTACATAGCATACAGTATCGGTCACACCAAAATAAATTCGCAAATAACTTACTGATTTTTTTATAGTTAAAATCCCTTATAAAACCAAATTTAACATGTAAAAAGAAAAGAAAAACTCGATCTTTTTTGCAATAAAAATTGCAATTTGTTTGGCTACTATTTTTTGTTTAAGTCCTAAAAACTGTTATAATTAAGCATACACCTAAATTGCTCGTAGCAATAAACCTGCTGTAGGTTCAATTCAAGGTTCGGTTGAAATGAATAGAAACGGCGGTAGATCTCACCTTCTAAAATATACCGCATTTTTGCTTGTCAGAATTATCAAAAGTTATTTTAACTAGTACTCCCATATAGTAGTTGGTAGGACAATGTTATCCTGATGTACTGAAAAAGAACGTTTATTTTTATTGAGGATTTGAACTTAATAATCTGATTCAAATAAAAGAAACCGAATTAATTAATTTTAATAATTAACGAACCTAACTTTTAACTAAGTGTTTACACAAAATAATATTCAATATTTTATTTAGTTTTGCTATTTTTATTTTCTCAAAGCGAAATATCGGACAAACCTAAAGCTGTTCATAATCTTTATCTCAAATTTTTTAGATAATTTAACATTAGTTTATCGACGTATACGCGTGCTCACTCATTGGTTGTTCTGCTACATATCTATTATCTCAGCAACGTAAGGACAATTTTTAAGACTATACGCTTAATAATAAGAGCAATAAGGAACAAATTCGATTACTGAAATAACTTACGTAATTAAAATTTTTATTGAAAATAAAAATAAAAAAAATTTAAAAAAGTTAGACAAAATGCAAGTTTTTTTTAGGACACAGCAAGTTTGATAATTATTCTTTGAAATATTTTTAATTTTCCTGTTAATAAGAAAGATCCATAGCTCAGAAAATTAAGGACTTACCCGATTCAGGAAGCACTCCATTACTCCACGTATTACGGATGTCTTCATTGTTTTCCCCCTAACAAAACAAATAGTCACAAATAAATTAAATAATTAATTTCAAGAAACTAAAGAGGTAAAATATTACTCGATTAAGAAATAGATTCGCTTCAGAATATAATCATTGGTTTTTCACCTTCAGTTTTTCTTTTTTCGTCAGAAACTTGACGTTTTCATTTCAAATCACTTTTGTTTCTTCTCATTCACGTCTGGCAAGCCTTGAAAATGAGCGCCTGTTTTTGAGCGCTTGAAACACGTCGACTGCTGTTTCCAATTTGTATATTTTTTAAGCGAAAGAAGTTTTTAATCAAGCAAATAGTCATTGTTACTTATGTAAACTAATTTGTAATTGCATTAAATTAAAATAATCTTAATTAGTGCCGCAGATTCTTCATAAATAAAATTACCTTTAAGATACTAATTATCTTTTTCGAAAATTAAATTTTTTTAAATCTAGAAAGCTTCACCCCATTCTCGCTCCGCTTGCAAATCCTCGTAATTACTTCTCATTTTTTTTTCCTTCTTAGATATTAATATTTTCCACGAAAACTCAGAATATTTTGCTTTTTAAAATATTTAAGAACACTCTGTTAATAAGTAAATCTTAATAAAATAGTCATTTGCCTAGATTTGAAAAATATTCATATGTGCTAAGGAATACAGATAGTGGGACTTATAAAAAAGAAATGAATGAGAAGCTGATGATAATTCTATTTCTTATTGACGAAACTTATAACAATTCAATCAGGAAATTGTTTTTATTGCATTTAAATAAGTTTTTATTTTCATTTTTAATTGTTTTTAAAATGTCCAATATAAATGTTAAGATTTATATCTGGCAACATGTTCTCCCTCTCCCTCTTTCTTTGTCTAATTTTTGTTACTTGCTGCTTTTGATTGACATCTACTCGAGCGCGACCTAACCGAACAAAGAAATAAAAATCTAGAAATAAATAGTAAAACTAATAGTAATCTAAATAGTAAACTAAATAGTAAACTAAAAAGAAATAAATAGTAAATGTTTAAAGCAAAAAAAAAAAGTCTAACACTTGATAATTCTCGAACTAAATGTCGAATCTTATTAATTTTTTTCCCATCATTATTATTTCGTCGTACTCACGTTATTCGTAATTTCAAATTTCTAAGTCTAATAGATTTTTCGTAAAAAAACAAAATGTAACGTAAAGCAAAAAATAAATTAATTTTAAAAAAATAAAACATTGTCATGAAAGAAAATAATTAAAATTACAATAATTTTCGAACAAATTAGAATTTCGAAAAAAATGTTGTGACAACTTTTTAAACAAATATGGCCTTCTCAGTATAGTGCATCTCAAATTTGTAGTTGCACTCCAGCGGCTTGTACCCGAATAATATTTTTTCCAGCAAATTTAACAGTTTGCCATGATCGAACTGAATATCGAATGTTAATTTTTTTGTTATTCCATTGTACTTCCTGTACAGAGCGCAAGAAATAAATAAATATATATAAAAAATAAATAAAAATAAATAAATAAATAAATAAACGGACCACCCTGAATAACTTTTGATGTAATGATTGGATCTTCACATTGTAGGATTCAATCTTAATAGTTCAAGTGGGTGACCTTAATTACGCTAATTAATTAATGCAATCGCTATTTTAAGTTACGAGATCAGACACAAAAACGTACTTTCTCTAAATAAACGTACCCTTTTCCCGTCAGTTTCGGATTTCTAACCCCCAAAATATAGGGTTTTAGTCACAATGTGGGAAATATAGTCTGTATACTGTGGCCAGGTAATAATTCAGGTGTAAATTTTACTTTTTGCGTATTTCACCATATTTCGAGAACCTTTTAAGCAAATTGAAAAAATTCTGCACACAATTATAAAATTCGTTTGTTCAAAGATTATTCGATTCAAATTATAACTTTTAGTACATATTTATTATCTTATTTATTTTTATTATTTATTAGTCGAAAAACTTTTGAATTGTAAAATATACAACTTTTTACATCTTTTTAAAGAATACAATTTTAAATAGCAAAATACAAAATTTGAGCAAAATTGGTCGTATAGTTCCTGATAAATCGAATTTTGGAAAAGTCGCATTTTTAATATTTATAGTGGCAATTTGAAAGTCAGAAGAACGGTCGAAATTTTTGCTATATTTCCCTATATTTTGACAAGCTTTAAACGAATCAAACGTTTTTTGCCACAATTTCGTTTATCCAAGCATGCAAACAATTTAAATGATTTAATATTTTATTTAATAATTGTCGAGAGTTTTTCGATTGTAATTTATGCACTTTTTTAGAGTATTTTGTAATCTATATAATTTTAAATGACGAAACAAAAAAATTTAAATTTAATCAGCCGAATAATTCTTGAAAAATCAAATTCACGACTTTTTTAAATTTGTTAACTGAGAAATTATTTGACCGATTTCATTTAAATTCTACGCGCTAATTGTGAAATTCGGATTTCGATTAGTCACCACCGGCTGAGTTTTATTTTGTTATACGATTTTTATGCAAAAAGTTGTCGTATTTTCGACAAGTACTTATTTAAGCGCCTAACATTGCTACAAGTAAAATAAGTTTCTAATGTATGCTTTCCAACCTGAAGTGAATGCGCCAAACCCCGAGTCAATAGAATAAATAGTTTAGATTAGGCGTTATAAAGGTTTTGTTCACGAACAGTACAATTAAAAATAGTACTTATTAAAAAAAATTACTTTATTTTAAGATCGAAATTGAATAGCCGACCAAATTTTGAGTTTATGACTATCAATGTTCTACTACGTAGCTTTATAATTTTGAACTAGCCTTCATGGACGACTTTTTTTATGGAACTAACCCGCATTTCGAGAGTAAAATCATGAAAATCTCCTACGGCTATCCCTAAAGCGGATTCAAGCCCACGATCCGTCTAACTCTGAGGATATTTTACGTCAGCATTGTGGTCGGTGCAAGCCAGATGCGGAATTCGTATCAACCAGCCATAGTTGGGAATCGAACCTAGTTCACCTCATTGGAAGGCTATCCCCTGAGCCATCACGGCTCTGGAGATACCTGCCAGCCTGGGTCACCTCCCACGGCTCTTTTTTTTTATAAATCTTGCAACGTTTTACTACTTACTGTGAAAAGGGTAATGAACAGTTTGCCACAATTTTAATTTTTTGAAGCTATCTTTATTACTGAACAATAAAACTTTAGATTACTTAAGAGTAACGCTCTTTTTCCCCCCCGCTAATAGAAACACAACTTGTAAAATTAAACACTAGAATTCATTTAGGCATAACATTAAGACATTATTATAAATGATACAATTTATATAATCCGATTACAATGTAATCAAGATTATTTAAAATTGATTACTTATAGTCATACTGAATCCAATAATATAATTACTTATATTCAGGATAACTTGTAATAGTTAGATTACGATGTTGTTATCAACTATTATTATTCATAATCATAATCACTTACGATTATTTGTAATCACAATTACTTATGATTAGGATTATTTGAAATTATAGATTTTAATTCTTGTCATCATAATTACCAGCAATTGTTCCTTGTTAAGATTACATGTAATAATATTGTTAAGATTACACAAAGTAAATTCTGAATATTTGCAATCACGGATTTTTATACTATATAACCATGATAACTTGTAACCGCGATTACAATTTATTGCTTGTAATCGATAAAAGTTTTATAAATTTAAAAATATATTTGAAATATTGTAAATTTCATTAGTTTGAAAAGATGATTGATATAACACAAATTGTATTAAATCAACGTTTTGAATTCATGCAATAATTTTTTTCATCAAAAAATTAAGTAAAAATAAATAAATAAAATAAAAAAGAGGAAAATACAGAAATGAATGACCAAGTATGATTTACCAAATGTTGAGTCTTTGAGAAAGGATAAACAAAATCACAAGGCAGCAGTTCTAGTTCTCGGTACATGTATCTTCTTAACAGCAGATCAGCTTGCTGGATATTTCCTTGACTTATACCTAATAGTTAAAATAATAATTATTCTAATGTAATATAAATTTTATATTTTGCAATAAATTTGAGGGAATGAATGTAAATAATGTCGTTAATTACTTTGAAAGAAATTTGAATTTAATTAAATATTTTCTTCAATCACCCCCCCCCTCGCCCTTTGCATCATGAGCTATTTTGCCTTTTATTGAAATAACCAAATTTAGAAGTTACCTTTTTGTAATCTATGAACCTTGTACCACTTATACGACAAGTAATTGTTGTAGGTTTAAACTTGATGGCCTCAAATGAGCTTATCTTCTTCATGTAAATACTGGTTCTCATCATCCTAGTTATTATGTTTTTTTTTTCTTTCTATTTTGTTTTTCCCAATCTTTATTTATTTCGTTACAGTGTGTATACGTCATAACTGTTTTATTTGGCTCAGTATAATCGCTTCGCTCTTGTGTGCTAATGAGCTAAAGTATTCTTCCAACTCTAAAGCGTAACGTTTCAATTTCATCAAAACAACACTATATAGAGAGATGTAGCAATTAATATGCACAGTTTTTATTTTAGCAAACGATTAAATTATTCTCTCAATCACTTTTAAGGAACTATTCAACTTTTTTTACTCTATTAAGAAAATTACTTTTTTCCCTCGTGTTTCCATAGCTTTACCCCATTGTACCATAATAAAGTGTATATGTGTTAATCTTACTGTGAATTATTTGTACTCTTTATACACGTTGTTTTAACTTTGATATTGATTAAGAATTCGCAATTTTAAGAGTGAATCTTTAGACATGTTGTAAAAATTTTGAATTTAATTTTGTAAATTTTTATTTCATAGTACGTTTGCAATCTCATTTGTAAATTTAAAAAAAATTATTACCTATGTTTTCGAAGATATAATTCTTAAAAATTATGCCTGACAGTAATATTGACTTCATTTAAAATGTAAATGTCTTATACGAAATTAAACTATCTCTTTATACTTACTGTAAAAGTAATCCACGAGGACCATATCAATCATTCCATACTTTTGTTGTAAATAAATTTTATCAGTTGTTTCTCGATATTGTTCGTAACTAGTAATCTGAGAATTCGAAATGTCTTCTCTAACATTTCGATGCTTTGATTTTCTTGAAGAAGAAACTTTTGTGCAATTTTTTGGAAATTTAAAATAAATAACAGTTGGCTTCGAAGAAGTTGCCAGCTGATTGTCATTAAAACCTTGATGTATTGCTGGTATTTTCGATGTTTTGATGTTCAAGTCGTCAACTTTATGAGAAGAGTATATGAACGGATCCTGATCCTTAAAGCTGAAGTTTTTAATTTCTCTGCTGCTTGACTTTGGATAATATGAAGTTTGCAGATAGCTTTGGAATTGCGGGCTAAATGCAGAAGAAACTGCATTATTCGGAGAAAGTGTCGATGTCGTACTTCCATGTTCATCTAAAATAGAAATCAGGATTGGAAAATAGTAATGGAAGTTGGAAATAGGATTAAGAGGGACCAATTTTGGGATTAATAAGTGAAATAAATTCATTCAGAGATAGACTTTCCTATTTTAGAGTCATAGGCTGTTTTCGAGATCCTCTGCTTATATGCATTACAAACATAAATTGTTACTTTTGTAAGGAACAATAGTTTATTTGAACAAATATTTCTGGCTGACAATAAAATATCCGCATAAAATACTTAAGTATATTAATTAATTTTTATAGTATTCTTTTCTTCTCCTTATTTATTTATTTATGATTATTTTTTTAAATTTATACTGCAATTCCTGGAGAGTGGGGGAAATCTCTCTATACGGAAAAAATCGTAAGCGTCTCCGGCATTTTGGGTGTTCAAATTAACATTCCATTTTATTTTGTTGTGCAAAATCTATAAAACTTCAAAATTTTAAATTATGAATGTGAGTAGAAAAATGTAAAGGGAGCACAATGAAATGAAAAAAATTAGCCAGTTATTATTGGTTATAGAATTATTAACTGTTAAACTTATAGTCAAAATACAACACGTGCCATTTTGAAGGCCAGAGGAATAAAGCTACAGATTTGAAATTTGAATTGTTAAAAGGACTATTTTTGACTATGAACTGAACTCGAACTTTTTTAAAATGTTAATTTATTCGAAAAATATGGTAATTTTAAGTGCTTTCTGTTTACGGATTTTTTCTCACTTTTTTCGCCTTATGTTACATTTTATAATGCTGCGCAAAAACTAGTTTGCTGTAAGAGTTACGAAAGTGTTTAGAAAATTCACAGAGAGTACGATGGAATAAAAAATAAAATAAGTGTAAGATTCTATAAAAAGTTCGAGAATTATCATCTGTTAAGCGTGTAAAAAATATAATTTGGGCCGGTCTAGTGCAATTATAAATACCGAATTGAATTTTGAGGTGCTGAAAGAGCCATTATTATTTAAGAACTTAATGTGAATTTTTTTCGAAATTCCGATTTTTTGAAAAATTACTGAAATCCTAAGTTCTTTTTCCAAAAAATTTTTTTCTTCATCTTTTTGTTTAAATAATAATCATTTATCCATTGTTGTATTAAATTAATCTCTCTCGAGACCTACATTTTATAAGCTCGCGCTTAACTTCGCGCGGGGTTGGTGTCAAGAGTAACGAAAGAATTTTAAAAGTTTTATAAACAAAAACTGATGGCTTCTCGTATGTTGGAATGCTGATGAACACGGACATCGAATGTCTTTTTGTTAATTTGGAGTTTGAATTCCCCCTATTTTTTTTACCTTCACCGTTTTTAACGTTCAAATCATCTATAGCTTAAATTAAATAAAAAGAAAAAACCCACAACTGAATAACTTTTTCGTATAATATTTCACATTCACTCAATGCTCAATATAAGGGTTACTTATTTAAATGGGAATTTTTCAAGGGATTATTTCAAACTTTAGCAAAGATATTAAGCCATCAAAATTAAGTCATCCAAAAGAAAATTAAGCCCAAAAGACATTGCACACATTGAACGTTTGTTGTATGCATACCAGAAACTTGGTGAGTATTTGTATCGTTCCATCGAATCTGAATAAATAATTTAGGCTAACCCTGTATCATCACTATGTCATTCACCGTGAAAAAAGAAGTTGCTCCATTGATACGCACTAAATATTGATAAACATCTCATTGGTGATATTTTTCGATAAACATCTCATTGGTGTATTTTGTTTAGAATATAAATTATTATTGAATAAACTGATATTGGCTATTTTGCTATGTGATGGATAACACACAACAAAAAACATTAGCATCTATTAATATATTCTGTAAGAAAAACAATCACCTAATTTTGAAAGTTTTGCCTCTGGATTTTTTCTAGGTCTACCAGGTCTTCGAACTTCTTTTTCTTTCTTTTTTCCCAGGTATCCTACCAATAAAACGATTGCATTATAAGAAGAATTTTCAATTATCACAACAACCATTTGTTTTCAATAATTTTGAAATATTTTTTTTAATCCAGTAATAGGGATTTTGATTTGATAATGTTAAGATAGAGCACGGATGTTAACTCTATTAGAGGATTAGAAATTCAAAATCCATTTGATTTATCCCCTTTCCTTTTTTTTTTTGTTTTTGTGTGTCTACTTAAACATTTGACGAACATTCGAACATGACCATTTTTTATAATTTAACCGCAGATAGGTCAAATGGTAATATTAATATAATAAATTTGTAGCCTATGTATATTTGTTGGATTTTAGATGGGGAAATTTTGATTTTATTTTCATAAAAATAAATTTATATATTATGTAAGAACTTTTTATATTTTTATTTAAAAACAAGTTAAAATTTTGTCATGGTAGATAAAGGCTTTTTGTTCGTCAATTAAATAAAACGGGAAAAATTTTTTAGAAGGTTAAAACCTTTTTAAAATCTATAACATTAATGTTTTCTGTTTAATGATCTGTTGTACATTAATTCTGTTTTCTGTATATTTTGTTGAAAATATTTCTACTTTAGGGTAACTCGGTAGTTAATGGTAAAATGAAATGACTGTAATGAAAAGTGATTGAAGTAAATTTTTTTTGAATATTTTTATGTAAAAATTGGTGTTCAAAAAAAATCCCAACCTATCTAACTTTTGTTACAGAATTGTAATGAATCGTAATTGAATGGACTATACTTTTCTTACGAAGCGGCCTCCAAGTGTACAGTACGCAAAATAAAATACCTACTAAATGACTTTTAATGTAAGGATCAGATTTGCACTTACTAAAATGCCAATTTTTGAATATTAGAACTTAATCTTAACAGTTCAAAGGTCTAAGCTTAAATATGCTATTTAATTCACACTGTTTAAAGTTACGAAATCAGACACAATAACATACTTTCGCAGCGAAAATAAAAATTTTCTTGATTCTTAGCCCTCAAAACATGAGGAGTGGAGAGGGGACGCCGCAACTCGGAAATAAAATTGTCGGAATAGTTGAGTCAAAACTTAGCTTTGAATAACGAAATTTTGCTTACTTCATATTATCTCTACAACTATTTAAGTGATTAAAAAAACAAAAACATTCTGTATTTATAAAAATTATTTTTGAAGATAATATCATGTTAATTTTTTCTTATAATTATTTACAATCTTTTTATTATTTAATTTATTACAGTTCGAAAACAATTTGCTATGTAAAGTATACAGATTTATATAAATAACTTTAAAAACTATATAATTTTAAAACTATATAATTTAAAATTATAAAATCCAAAATTTGAGTAAAATTGGCCAACATAGTAGAATAAGTACGCACTATATATAGAAATTCAAAATTGTGTGTGTAAACTTTCATTTCTTAGAATGCAACGGATTACTCTCAAATCAAGCATAGAAACAGAGGCAGTTATTTCGATGGCGATGAGACTGCTTTAAACTTTAATAGCCTTGATTTCATAATAACTTGTATGCAGTGAGTCCCCAGGTTTAATTGTGAGAACACTCTTATACTGTCTTTGTGTTCTGTGTTCAATAAAACATAAATATTATTTTTTTTTTACATTTCTAATCACATTATGCTCCTAAATCACAACAGATGACACTACTGTTTTTCAATAATTTTCTCGCAAAAATGACGATTTATGTTTAATTATTCTTTTATAGTTTGAATATTTTAATTCGGTTTCACGAATCAGGAATAGAGCGCAAAATAAAAAAAGGCACACCCTGAGTAACTTTTGATCTCATGATCGGATTTTCACACATTATGAATCAATCTTAATGGTTTGTGGGACTAGCTTAAAATATGTTAATTTAGTGCAGACGATATTTTAAGTGAAAAAAAATTTTTAACGCAAAAACGTACTTTCTCTGAATAAACATGCCTTTTCGACACTCGGACATTCGGAATTTTGATACTCAATGTAAGGGGTGGGTAAGCTGTATTATCTTAATGATAATTTTACTTTTTGCGTATTTCGCTATGTCTCGAGAATTTTCTAGGCGAACAAAAAATTTTCACAGACAGTAATAAAATTTTTTTATCCAAAGAATTAACCAAGCATGCAAAAAATTTTTTTTTAAATAATTATTTATTATTTCTTACTATTTTATCTACTGATTATTGTATGATATAGAAATTTTTAATCTCATTTTAAAGTATGTAATTTAGATGACAAAATACAAAATTTGTACGAAATCGGTCAAACAGCTTCTGAGTTTATTTAATTTTTAAAAAAGTCGTATTTCTCAAGAAATATTCTACCGCCATTTGAAATTTCATTATTTTAATAAGTGTAAAATTTTATATGTCTTACAATTCAAAATTTTTCTACGTTTATTAAATAAAACAATAAAAAATAATTATTATGAATATAATGAACAAGTAACCTTAGAAGAAATGCATTTTAAAATTGTGTATTAAAATGTTTCTATTCACGAAAAAATAGTATATAGAGGTATGTTTATATAGGGTACGTTTTTGTGTCTGATTTCATTACTTAAAAAACATCTGCTACACCAATTAATTATTATAATTAAGGTCTTGAACCATTAAAAACTACTTTTAATGCAGTAAAATCCAATCATTAGATAAAAAGTATTCTTGGTGTTAACTCTTCTTTATTTATGGCGCACTGTAAGTTTTAAAATAATTATGTTTATTCAAACAACAATTATATACGAGATACGATTTCGTCAAATATAATAATGAAATACTTTAAATCCAATACCTAAATTATTTAATAAAATAATAAAAACGATAATGAGGTATAAGTAATCTTTACATATTAAATATTTATTAAAATAGATTTTTCAAAGTTCTGTGATTAACTACCTGGGATAGTTGTCTTAGGTCTGGCTTGTTTTTTAATACTAGGAAAATCTGGAAAACAGAAATATTATTCATCATTATTAATAATATTATTTAAAATGTTTTTATTTGATCACCATCAGTAATAAATATTCTCTCCACAAAGCAAATGTCTAGCCTTCAATATTAATTATAACTAACTCTTTAACGTTGTAACTTTGGTTCTATCTGGACACGAAGGAAATCCAAATCCTGAGTATCAAGAAAAATTTGCATTTCGGTTACTTTGAAAATACTCACTTTTGCGTTACATGAAAGAAAATATCTTACAGTTAGCTCAATAAGGCAATGATTGTAGACCGAAATTCATCTATTGACTTAACAGCTATATGTTTTCATTTGACTATTTTTAAATTTGACTTTTTTCACTCAAAAACATATTACATTGCCAATTTATATGTATTTATGACAAACATATACTTAAGAGCTGTGGTCGAAAGTAACGCGCTGCGAGTAGCGAAACTACGGAAGTACTATAATAGCTAAATTTTTGTAGTTTATGGTGTAGTGTGCTACTTTTTTTAAAGATAGTGTAGTCAGTAGGGCGATACGAAAAAAAAATTGTAGTTTATAGTGATTTCTGGCAACTACTTGTAACAATAGTTAAGTGAAGTAATAGGGTTGAAACGCAAATTTTCTTTTCCGAATCTAATTGATAAAAATCCTAATTGATAAAAATCTTCGCGGATCCGTCAATGAATGTAATAAGAATGCCCTTGTTGCTAAGTGTTAATAAGAATTGTGCAGGGTTGGACTGAAGATTTGGCGCCCAAGGAAGGGAGGGAATTGAATTAGGGCCCCTTGAATGAATGAAATGTCTTCAAATTTTTGGAAATGAAGCGTTATTGATTTCGCTCAGTGCCTGGATTTACATAATTTATAAGAAATTTTAAACATAATAGCTTAATAAGCTAAACATTTTATATATAAATCTTTTAAAATCCTTACTTTTTAGTGGACACCGTTAATTTTAGAATTTATTGTTAGAAATTAGTTTTGTTGATCCTTAATTTAATTATTATCAATAAAATACATAAAAAAAAACTGGCTTGTTTTCGTTCCAAAAATATATTTTCCAAAAATGTATTTTTCAAAAATATATGTTTCCTAGACTGTCGAAACAGTTTCAAACGTCGCTTCAACTGTGGTAACCCAAAAATTTTCTGACGCGCCCTTTTTCCTCCGTCAATATTTAAATTCCCTTAAACAAAAATACATGTCATAAATTTTCCTTTAATGTGTGCATTTCAACTTTTTAAGAGCTGATTCGTGAAAACAATTTAAAAAACAAACAAACAAATTATAGCCCAATAAAACTAATGATCTTTCGAATCAGCAAAAAATATTCAATTGTATAGATTGTTATGAGATATTAGCATTTATGCAACTACTTTTCACTACATAATCAATTAGAAATTAGCAAAAATAAGTTGATTTAGATCAACTTATTTCATTATTTCGAGATATTGCACTAATTTCGAAACATATTACTAATGTTTAAAATGAAAACAAGTTAAAAACAGTTTTCAACTCAAATACAATTTTTAGCTGCACAAGAGAAATCATTATTGCCAATACATTTATGAGTTCAGGAAAAAGAAAATCTGTGGAACTAAAAAAATGGTGAGACCCTCAACATATTCCATATAAATTGTCTCCATAATAACTGCCCCATTTCGTCCCCCGGCCCACTATCTGTAAAAATATTAAATAACAGTTGTTAAACATTATGCTTTTTCCATTCAAGTTTGATCTAAACGTTTTTGATATTTGATCTGATCAAATAAGCCATTTCCTAGAGGGTCCTGAATTCCAAGCAACACAGTGACAACTCCCCAGTTTACTTTCTTTTTTCCTTTCCTCTTTGAAAAGGCTTTAATTACCTTGATATTGGCCAAAACGAACGTGTGGGGAAAGGTTTGAAAAGAAGGAAGAACAACAAAATAATTTATTGTTTTGATTTAAACCCATTTTAACTAAGTTCGATTAAAGATTATAAATTTATTTACTTTGAAGTTTTTCTTAAAAACAATTGGGGAGGGGGGGGCGAACCATCCGATCTATATTGTGCACACGCCAATTAGTAAGGCAAAATTCAAATATTTTCACCAAAGAGTTTAAGCTTATCAATTCTTCTTAAAATAGCTTTGAAAAAGCTGTGTAAATTTTATAACATATTCAACTTTATTTCTATTTAATATTAAAATATTAAACAAAAATTAATAATCGTCATTAAACTATACCGTAATAAATATTATAATCGAAACAGTAAGTATGATTTTTTTCCTTCTTCCGTATTTTAGGGGGGTGACTTTTAAGATCCCCTTGGTTTCAAGCATTTTGCAGGTAGGGCCCCGGTTTTATACCCAAAAGCTTGTTAACTCAAAATTTAATGCTCATTATTAAGCCGTATTATTAAGTATGCTTTTGTTTCACAATTCATTGTTTAAAAGTTGAAGTATCATTTTGGGTAAAGTGTTTCTTCCTCCGTTTTCATGGGAAGGGGAGCTAATTTTTAAAGGCCCCTTTGTTGCAAACATTTTGAAGGTGGGGCTTGGTTTTTATAATCAAAAGTTTGTTAACTCTGAATTCAATGCACATCATGCTGCAATATTAGGTATTTTATGTTTCATAATTCATTATTGCGAAGTTGAAATATCATTTTGCATGGAAGTATTTTTCCGTTTTTTTTTTTTTTTTTTTTTTTTTTTTTTTTTTTTTTTTTTTTTTTTTCCTTCCCTTTTCAGATGGGAGGGGGGGGGATTTTAAGGGTCCCTTGGCTTAAAGTATTTTGCTACTGCAGCTCCGGTTTGTGCAATCAAAAGCCTGCTAACTCATAATTTTATGCATATTATGCCGCAATTGAACGTATGGTTTTTTGTTTCATAATTCATCATTGCGAAGATGAAGTATCATTTTACGCAAAAGTATATTTCCTTTCCTTTTTCCCATTTTTAGAAAGGGGCTGATAATTTGTAAGAGACCCTATGACTTCAAACTTTTGCCGGTGGATCTTCGGTTTGTACACTCAAGTTTGTATATTCAGAATTTTATGCACATCGTTAGGCGGAAGATGCAGTTCCCTATAGTTATTTATATTGTGGCGCATTTGCATAGCTCCAGGCTTATTCAATAAATAAAATTCTGAATAAATATTTTATTCTCAATTCCAAGAATAAAACAAATTAGGACAAAGAATGTTTTAAAACTATATTATTATTATTTTTCATTTTTTTGTTCTAAAAGGCATGAGATCAGATTGCCCCACCTTTAAACTGGAACACAGGGGGTGATGGTTTTGTCAGGTCTATGGCCAGTCCGACCCAGGAATTGCGTATTACTAACATTTAAACTAGCTTTTATAAATACAAGTCAATTTAGCACTTTGGCCACACCTTCAAAAGCGATTGTACATTCAGAACACATTGATGTTATTTCAATGGAATGGATAATATTTTCTTCGTAATTTTCGATGCGTTTTATTTCTTAAAGCAAATAAAAGAGCATTACACACATAACAAACTTGCACACATTTAATAATTTCCTGACATTTTTAAAATTAAATATCCCATTCGTGAAAGGCATGAAAAGTTGAAAGTTAAAAGAAAAAATTTATAAAAAATGGTTAAGAATAACAAAATGACTCATAATATATATTTTATAATAATTACTCTTGTTTAAATAAGCCGATTCCTTGTTAAAATTCAAAACCGTTTTGAACATGGGTGTAAATTAAATTCTCTAACAAAGTTTGTCTTATAAAAGTATTGAATGAAGACTACATTCTCTTTAGAAGTAGTTTGTAGTCACTTGATTTAAAAAAAAAAAAGAAGTTGACGCTGTAGTTAACTACCTTTGTAATAAAGTTGCAGTTAACTACAGAAATAATGCAGTTTTGCCGACCACTGCTTAAGGGATAAAAATTTTAAAAATATATTATGTATAATATACATATGTATTTCAAACAATTTTATTTAAAAAAAAAATTATTTTAAATTTTTGTCGATAATAACTTAAGAAAATGATATGATAATGCTTTTGACTGAGGTTAATGATTCTAACATTGTTCTTGACTTAATTAAATGAAGTAAAAGCTATAAAGGTTTTCATATGTTAAATTTTTTCAAGCTTTTATTGACTTTATAGATCGTTATCTATAAATTTAATGATTTATGATCTTCAAGAAACTTTGAGAAAGTCTTTTGATTTTCATTTACTCATTAATCTGTCCTCCTAATAAATAGCGTCTTATGAATTCACCTTCAAATGAGGGTTTAAAAAACGTAAGAGATGGTTGTGGAAAACCCATATTATATATTCGTTTTCATACATAAAGCATAGTCAAACGAAATTTTCTTAAAAATTCCCTTATTCTATTACTTGTAAGTAAGTTGAAATCATTGAAACACATGAATAACAATTCGGAAAATATTATTGAATAAATTTTTGTCTGTGAAGAAAAGAGAGAGAAACTGAGCTAAGATAGTCGATTTTCACTAAGATTCCGGACTTCAACTACAATATTATCATTATCTGATTCCTGTATGTTTGGAAAAGGAACTAGCAAACGAGTATGTAGGTACTAGGAAATGAGATTGAGCTGTGGGCAATTCATTTTAAGATATATAAGAGAAAATTAGGATTTAAAATTTATATGTGAATGATTTTAGATAATAAATCTATGATGTCGAACAACCATAAAAATTAGACATTTTGATTTTAATTTGAACATTTCACAGCAAGCTTTTTCCTATTAATAGCAACAAAAAAAAAAAAAAAAAAAAAAAAAAAAAAAAAAAAAAAAAAAAAAAAAANAAAAAAAAAAAAAAAAAAAAAAAAAAGAACTAAGCTATGAGCATATTTATTTATTATTGAATATAAAATTACCTAAAACGAAATCTTTTTTGACGCGATGGACAATTCTTCTGGAAGTTCGGCGTAACTCTACAGGTTCTACAGACGAATGAACTGAAGTTGGAGATTTTTCACAACTAATTAAAGCATTTGAGCATTTATCTGTTTTTTGCACTTGATCATTTTCGCTAAAATATTTATTTTGTCCTTTTAGTGGTTTTCTCACATTTTTTTCATACGTATCGTTGTCACAGAATCTTTGAAAGTTGACAAAGGTAGGTTTGAAAATTTCATCTATAGCGTTTCCTGCTTTGGAATTTTTTCTCAAAACTTTTGTCATCTGAATCTCTAATGAACTTGACAGAAGATCTTTATCATTAGTTTCATTTCTTCCCTTTTCTTCCATATCAAAAAAGTCTGACTAAATATAAATAAAAATATAATGTGACTAATTCAAATAATGTTTGCAATAAAACATAAATAAACATATAGTTATGATTTTATTTAATTCTATTCGTGTTTTATTTTTACGAAATCTTTATTCATAACGCCATTTTTACAACAAAAAAAGCAAATTTTATTGTATAACAGATTTTGTCATTTAACATTTACTCTTATTTTATATGAATAAATATATTTATAAAACAAAAAATATATATTATAATTACGATTTCTATCTACTAACAGGAAATGGAAATAGTTTTAATCGAACGTATTATGAAACTAGTATGTTCAATTAACATAACATGAGCATGTCAGTGTTGACATACACCGTTTTGTGAATCTCTAAAATTAACTGTTCAATTATGAACTGTATTTTCTTTGAATCTCAAATTTCCCTCTTTTTTTAGAACTACCTGCATAAAGAAATTGAAAGGTTTTTCTGTAAAAATATTTTTAACTACTCGAAGTTAAAAATGTTCGAGAAAAAATACTTTAAAATACTTGAGTTTATATCATATCTTAGATTCAATTTTTATCATATGGATTACAAAATATCAGTCGATGGTGGAAGATTAAAATATTGTATTTCATACCCGTTTTTTCCCCCCTTCATATCTATATGTGTTACAATATGTAAATATAAACAAATGCTATTGTGTTACGCGTAATATGTAGAACATGAATATATCATAATATACGACTTACCATACTTTGCTAAATTAATTTAGATGATAAAAATATCAGTCAGAATATAAATTCATATTAAAGGAGCCTGTTACACAATAAACCACATATAAATCGCATACAATACTAATTAAGAAAGTACTAATTAAACTAATTAAGAAAGATGAATTAGAAAAATTCCAATTCTATATTTCTTAATTAATTAAGTTCCAAAGCAAAGAGCTTATATTTGCCCAAACGATTGCAATTAGTATGCCGATTATTTGTGCTGGTTTTTAAAAAATATCGTTTTTTTTCTTCCTTTTTTTTCCGAAGTCATCTTTAAAAAGCTGGTCTTTAAAAACATTAGATTAATTTATTTAAACAATAATTTATTAATTTATTGTGTTTTACACTTCATATATTTATAAAAAAATAGGTAGAATTAATTTAAAAAAAACTTAAAAGTCTGTAAATAAAAGACTTGATAAATTATTGTATCGTCTGTGATACTAGACATTCAAAAATGCTCAGTTCTTAAAATTTCTTTTTTTCAACCAAAGTTCAAAGATCAGATACAATAATTTTTTTTTTAAATGAACAAAATAGAAATATTTCAGTTGTTTCTCATAGAAAGTTCCGAAAAGTCTAATTATTTTATTATAAAGAATACTTATTTTGAATGTTGTACATCATGTGACTTTGGCATAGCAAATTAATTTATCCCTCGTTAGAGAATTTTTTCTAAAAAGTTGGCTTTAATGGTAATTTTCAGAAAAAAATATTTATGCATTAGCTTATTTTAAAATGGTAGGAATATATAAATTCCCTATTATATGAAGCGATACATTCTGCATGAATGATCAAGAAATTTATATTGCCATCTACCGCATAGCTCAAGTTAAATCAAGCTAGTCTCAAAATAAATTTTTTAAGTAACGACAAATTTGATTTATCAAGATTTATCAGTTTATACTGACCAGGAAACTTCTGAAACTTTTTAATGAGGCACGAAGCTGAAACTTTGAGTAAATTAGTCGGAAAGTGGTCGAAATTTTGATCGCAAGATTTCATTGTCACAAACAAAGAATGCGAGTTAATAAAATGGCAGTAATAATAAAATATGGAAATGTCAATGGCTTGTACAGGTGATTAGAGGCCCGGAGCAAATTTTTCGATTAGTATTCTTCGATTAGATTAACCCCTTAAAAAAGCAGTGTGATCACTAAAAGAAGCAAATAATAATAATAATAAATAATTATTTAAAAATAATAATAAAAAAGGAAGAAAGATAAATATTAATAAAATCTACATACATGGTATTTGAGATTTTTCTTTAGTAAAAAAAATAATAAATTATTATTTCCAACAAAGTATTCTTAAGTTTTTCTTAAATGTAAGGAGAGTTGAAATTTTAATCGCCTAAAACTAATTTTAAATTAATTAAAACTATTTTTAAATTAATTTTAAAAATCTTTGCTTATTTAACACTAGCTGAATACCCGCTCTTCACGCGAGGTGAATAAAAAAAAGGCAAAGAATAAATAAATCAGTACTGTGAAACACTACGAAATCATGCTCTAAACTGAAAGGCATATACCGACACAATTAAAGAACTTAATGAAGGAAACAAGTAAGTGACATTTTTAGGGGAATTAATGAATCGGTGAAATTAAAACATAAAGTGGTTGCATCAATATGTATACGTTTAATGTAACAGAACTGTTTTTGCCTTCACTTTAATCTTTACATAACCAGTGGCCCCACCCCCCAAGCTCCTGGGCGCATTCATCCCCCCCCCCCACAAAAANTAACTTCCCTCTTCCATGTTAGCTTGTTCGAAATAGTGCTACTTTACTTGCATTGCCAGTTGCTTCTTTTATTCATGTACTTAAAAAAAAAATTCTCTCGTCTAAATTCCCCCCCCCCCAAACTATTCGTTTCATTTAGTGTAAATATCCCCCCCCCCAAAGCTTTAAGTGGGCGTATCGTGCGCCCACCTTCCCCCCTGATGGGGGTAAAAGAGTTATCAATCCTCTGATGAATCAGTAATAAAATAGTTTGAATAAAAAATTTTTTTTCGTTCTGAAAGTGCCACTCACCTGGTTTTTTCCGCTAATTTTTTCAATTAATATTGTTAAAATAATTTAAATTTTTTTATTTAATATTATTTGTTGTTTTGTGGCGTAACTACCACTATAAATATTGAATACCAATTCACTAGTAAATAAGACATGTTAATTTGATTCTATCACGAGGTACCTTTTGACAGAAGAAGGTTGACATAGTCGATAATAAAATTTCCCCACAGCTTTGCGTTATTGAAGTAAGCAAAATTTGTTTTTTTGTAGTTTATACCATTAGAATAAAGATAAAATGTATTTAGCATCACTTGGCCTCATGTTATTGCTTGCGGTCAACTCATGATAGTCAAAACTTACCACTATCAAGTAATTTTCTCCGGTACATATCCTTTTTGAAAGGCCGGAAAACATTTATTTCCAAAGTATCGGCATTAAAACTGCTAAGCATAGGAGCAGTTTTAGTATTGAAACAGTAAAACTGCTTAGTATTGGAGCAGCTTTAATAATCACCAAATACATATATCAATATAATATTTTATACCAATATTTGGTACTCATTACATAATCCTTCAACATTTAAAGTTTTGTGAGAAATACATTTGTCAGTAGCGCCCAACTAAAGTAGATTTATTTTTTCCAAATAGAATTCTTATTAAAACTTGATAAGGATTTTGAAGCATAACCATTTTTCTATCTTGTTATCTATGTTAAAATATTTATAAATAACAGCGGAAAAAGTTCTTTTAATTCTAATTCATTAAAATATTAATACACTGTCCTTGCTACCACTGTAAAAAAATATTTTCTGAAACTACGAAAAACCCATTGTAGAATTCTAATCGAAACTGCACAAATAACAATACCACAGTAGTACTACATATTAATTAAGCGTCATCTAGGGAATGGCGATTTTCGACTGTTTTTCTAAACGAATTTCCCAATAACCAATTTTCCATTAACTTTGCTTTTTGGCACATAACTTATTATTTTTATTTCAATTAATACACATTACTAACACTAAATAAGCATCATTTTCGTCAATGATAGTATGACCATTTCTAACCGTTCTTCTAATATTCTAAACAAATAATATCTTTACTTTATTACTCTTATTTCAATATACATTATTTATTACCTTAATTAATTAAGCATCATTTGCGTCAATAATAATATGGTGTTTTTTTACGTTTCTTCTAAATGAATTAGTACGACTGCTATATTAGTACTATAAAAATATTAGTACTACTGTAGACACAGAGACTAATATAGGTAGCATGTTTAGATCATTGAATGTCAAACCCTGAATTAAGCTTATTTAGAATTCTCTTCAACAAAACTTGTTAGTTGATTGAATTGGATATTCTTCAAGTAGTCTTCTTGTTAAGTTGTCCGTTCTTAAAGAATAAAAACTTTAATATACAAGCCTTATAATTCAGCTGAAAATCTAAAGGTGAATAAGGGACACACATAAATAGAAGTTTAATAGAGTCCTGTAAAAAGTTTTGCCCATGACCCATTAAGTCTAGCGATGGCTCTGGTTAAGTCCACAATACATATTTAGGATATTTAGTCAGAGTTACAATATTGAGACCGATCCAAGATATAACAAGCACATACTTTTTAATTTTGTTAAAACAAACAAGAATATACTTTTCCCTAAAAATGTGGTATTTTATATGAAGGTTAATTTCTTACTTTAGTACTGTTTTTAAACGTAAATACTGTAAGGTTTTGTTTTTTAGTCAAATTGATTGAAATAATTACTTAGCAGTTAGAAAATTAAAATAAGTTGCTTAAGCACATGCATGGAAAATCTAAAATGCTCCCTAATAGGGTAAATAGTACTGGTTGTTTCTGGAACCTTACATGTATGGAGTGCAGAATTCCTCCAATAAGTGGTGCAATAGCCATAGTGGCTCAGAAGATAGATTGCTTGCCTCCCAATGAGGTGACAGGGGTTCGAATCTCAGCAATGGCTGGTCGAAACAAATTCCCCACCCGCCTCGCACCGACCACAGTGCTGACGTAAAATATCCTCAGTTGTAGACGGATCATGGGTTAGAGCCCCCTTGCTGTCTGGAAGCTGTGGGAGGTTTTCCTCTCTATGCAGTGCAAATGTGAGTTAATTCTATCTAAAAAAAAGTCTTCGGTGAAGGTCAAAATTTCTCCCAATACTTGATCCAGGAGATCTCATCTTCTGGATCGAGTTCAAAATTACAAGGCCATGGAGTTGAACATCGGTGGTTGAAAATTAAAAAT